AATGGGGTGAAGTTTAATTCACTTGGTATTGTTTTACTTAAATCTTCCCATTGATGTTTTAGGACTGAAATTGATCAATCTCTTATTGGCATATGTGCATACTGTGCATATGCCTCGATATTGCCTTAATTTACAAGCATTATAAGCAAAGATTGATAGTGGCTAGCAGTGGAATCCAGGACGCGCGTTTCGTCCTGTTTGCTTGTAAATTAAGGCAATATCGAGACATACGCACAGTATGCACATATGCCAATAAGAGATTGATCAATTTCAGTCCTAAAACATCAATGGGAAGATTTAAGTAAAACAATACCAAGTGAATTAATCTTGTTTAAGTTTCTTGAATGTGATGGAAGTTATTTTTATATCTAAAAACATAAATTTACTAATTAGTGTTAAAAGGAGATAAGAATAAATAAGTTGCAATATATTATCTCGAAAATTATTAATTACTTAGTGATAAAAATCGAGTGAACAGAATTCAAATCGGATTTCTCCTAAAATATCTACATGTCAACTATGTTAATGACATTTGTATTCTTTTATAAACTAATAAATGTCTTCAAATAAATGAAATGATTATCAGTAACCGATCAATATCAAAATAGCATCGGATAAGGAGATCTTAAAAAGAAGGATATATTTGTAAAATCTCAGCGAATTAATTTTAAGTAAATCCAACGTTTCGCCTGGCAATCTGGTCCAAGCTTTTTCAAGGAAAATATAATCAAACAACAAAATTATCGAATATAAATAGATACAAGGTTCTTCGGTTTACTGTGTACTGAATAAGTCATTCAATCAACGTGAAGGAGATCTTGTTGAAAATTTATGATATATTACTTGACTTTATTAAATACAATTTTACAGTTGTATTGAAGATAACATATGTGTTGTGAAGCTACTCACACATGCACACATGTAATGTATATAAAAATGAAATTATACCTCTTCTGATTTTTTCTAAAAATGTAGCTCACTCTTATGAATCTGTTAACTTTAAACGAAACATAGGCTAGTGATAGTTTTAACCACAAAATGACGGAAAAGAAAAATACGATGAGAATCACAAAGCACTGAACAATCCTTCTGTTCTATTTTGGGACTATTTTATAGTGCACACTCTTGAAACAACATTTGATTAGAGCTAGTACCTTCAGGTTTCGTAGAGAGTCCAGTAATATTAGTTTACTGACCTAAAATCAACAAATGCTTGTTTTAAAATTCAATTGATTCGCAGTATAACAAAATCACCTGCTATTTACTAGTTACTGTCTCATTCTTGACTTAATCAACACCATAGGTGTTGGGTTCCCGTGAGAATGTAGAAATCGATCACTAATCTAGTCAGCGATGAACATATAGGACTGTTTAAAGGCCTTGTATATGATATATTGAAAACTTGTTTTCCTAATAAAGAATAGTAATCTTCAACCATGGTGTGAGCTTTGATATGTAGCCGGCAGAGTAATTCTGTAGATGCAAAGGTCGAACGATGACCATTTTATAAATTTAGAACTTTCTGAGTCAATGGTGGATACAGTCTAAAATTGCATTAACTTTTGTATAATTATCTGATGCATTCTTAAGAAAAGACTTCTAGGAGTACAGTTTTGATAATACTAAAATTATTTGTTTAGTAGCGTGCTTTGTATTTAATAAATACAAGTTGAGATAATTGTTCACTAAATTACAGATGATGCATAGAGGACAATTAACTGATCAAATAAGAAGCCATTAATTTTAATAGATTGAGATAACCGTTTTTATGTTAAAAGAAAATGAACTTCTTAAGAAAAATTCTGATTCAAGTAGCCTATTACGTATCTTTATATTATATCTCACTTGTAATAACCAAATATAAATACTAGTAAAGGTGTACTGAATATGCATGCATTAAACTTAATGAATTAATCTTACTGTGATCTTTTCTGCTTATAATTTTGAATATGCCAAGAACAATAGAAACCATAGTGTCATAACATAATTATGTAAAACGAAGATAATCACCTATTATTCTGGTTCACTAGATGATGTTCTCATTTTACCTAAATAATTTATTGATCCAATACAAAGTATTGTAAAATCAAGAAAGTAAGATTATCGTCTTACAAGGAAGAATTATATTATTATGATTAAAATTTGTTAACATTTGTCAACAATAGAAAACAATTGCATGAATAAGAAGTTATATTTGACTCAAAGTAGATGTTTTTTTGCTACAAGCACGTAAAGCTCCTTGATCATATGATTGTTTAAACTGGATATTTATTTACGTAGATAAAATGTTTGACAAAATATAAATTAAAGTAAAACGACAGAATGGTTTAATTATACCTCTCTGTAAGATGGACCAATCAGTCATTTGATCTGTAAATCACTAACTTGAAATTGTTTCTTTATGAAAGAACTATTTAATTTATTCAGTTATTTGTACGATCGCAAGCAGTAATATAGTTAAACTCATTGACCACTTGGTTTATCTTGTATTTTTAATCATTTTTAAAAAAAAGTACCAAAGCCTCGCCTGGGTTTGTTAAATTATTCTACTAGCAGCTTAAACTGCCTATCAGATAGCGAGTGAATTCCAGGAGACTACTATGTTTTGCTTTAAAACTATGAATAATATACTTCGTTATACTTAATATAAGAACACTGCTAGCCTTTGGTGGAATGACTGAATAAATAATGTGGGTCTTCTGTAGAGAGTTATAGGTAGATATTGTGACACTGATTAGACTGTCAATGATCATTTATACAGGATGATCAAGACTTGTGTTTTATACACTCAGTCAGCAAAAAACCTAACAGAGTAATTATTCTAGCTAGTATGGGCGTAGGTCAGAAAAGCTTTAGAAATGGCTAAACTACTACATGTCATCAGTCCATTTAGTTAAGAATTGAATACCACGTCAGAAGCTACTATCTGTCCGTATCAGTCAGTCAAGAATGATTAATATAGACCTAGCCTCATAGATTTCTATGTTCGGAATATTTTGTCACTCAAAGTTTTGATTCTGAAACGTTTCAATTCTATCTGAATATACAAAAAATAAGACTTAATTAAATATTTAAAACTGATAACTATTTATAGATTTCCACCGATTGAATAAATTAAAAGAACTTGTATTTGGTTAAAACTTGTTAGATAACTTATAGTGATTTGAACTTTACAAAACAACTATCAATTACAAATATCTATCTAGAACCAAGTTTCACTTTCTTATAAAGTTTCATAATGATGTTATCCTGATTGAATATGAATGGGACTAGAAATAAAGATGGTTCAAAAACATCAAAAGTAATATTAAGCATGAACTGTCCATTAGCTAATATCACACCATTTTGTAACAGATCATTAAATTAAAACAATTATTATTAATTATAACATATTAATGACTGATCGAAAAAAATTAAGCTATCAGCTTAAATTTATTCTTTGACAAATGACAATCATTTTGAGTTCATGATAAATAATTAAAAACGAACATCCTAAAACTAATTGAATAAATTTTTGTGTTAAAAAGTAACAAATTTTTTTACTGATTTACTAAGTAAAGAGATTTCATGCTCTTGGAATTACTCGATATTTACTCTTACAATTTGTCAATTCTTGCTTACTACCTATTATTCTTTACTGTTCTCCATTATGCTTTCCCGGGCGTTTGAGAAAAGACTTTGCTGTATTGCGGAAAGTGCTGAAAGCAGTTAGCAAGGTGTGTGGTGAATCTTTCGAGGTCATAATTAATATGGTTGTGGATAGACATCTAAAGTCATGCAAACTCCTGGCATGTGCTATTTTATCAGATACTAGCCATCCCCTTCACTCTTATCTTTCTCCTTGTATATTTTCTGGTAGAACGAGATGTAAATACATTAAAATTCATGCACGCAAGCGAAAGTATAAGAGTTCTATAATACCTTACCTAGCAAATATACTCTGTGACGAACAGGTTGTTAGAGTTAACCTAGTCAATAAGTTTCATTCTTAACATGTCTCTAATTTGAAAACTTGTACAGTTTTTCGTTTTTTTTCTTTTAACCTTTTTTCCATTTCTTGTCTTTGTTACTGTTTTTTTTGCGTAAGTAACTTATTGAAATACCTTGTGCTGACAATTCTATATTGTACCAAAATATAATGTTGAATGAAGCCACTAAATAAATAAATATAAATTTTGCATAAAAACTATTTGATAAACTGACTTATGAAAAACATCTCAATCTAAGGATATTTTTGTTACATACTAACATTAACTAGAGAATCTTCTTAACTAGTTAAAAGTGAATATCTACTTCTATTTCATTTGAAAAAGGTTCTACAGTTTGTAATCATAAATAACTCAACTGTGTCAAGAGTAATGCAGTTATCAATTAATGTGATTACATTATATTTAAGTAATCTAAAAGTAACACAATCAATACAAGATTAGATGATTTTAATTTACAGTCACTAACGAACTTGTGAATACTATTGCTTATTAGTTCTAGACTAGAATGAGTGTTGTGCTAACTGAGTGATTTAGTTAAAAGTGACGGTGTAAGTATCAAAAGAGATCAAGTTAGGATATTAAGGTTATCATCATAATAATAAAAGCTCAAATAAATGAACATATGGATAAACAGAAAAATTGTTATTTTTTTCAGAATAGTAGTATATTTCGTATTTAAAACAAAATATATGGTTAAATTATTTACAACCATAATATTCGTTTTAACCTGTACTACTAACTACTGATTAAACTTGCATATAGTGAACTCAGCTATTAGTTTACAATTTCCTACATTATACAGATCATTAGTGGTAAGAAACTGTACTCTATGGAAATTTTACTCTATTCAATACTTATAAATATAATAATGAGAGATTTAACTAGTGCAAATGAAATAGTGTATAATGATTTCAGTATACATTTATTTAACGTTACACGGACTATATTTCAATGTAATAATTAAAAGAAAAATTTCTCGCCTTACAATGTTTTATCCTGAAACTAAAACAGACGGACTTAATGAAGATAATGATCAAAGAAAATCAATATTCAGAAGAACATTTTGATTTTATACAAATGCATATACGACGATTTTGTCTTTCGTGTGAGTTGTTATGTTTTCTCCCTTAACAACTGATATGTTTCACATTTTGCCACTTATTAGTATTCAAACGAAATGATTATTTTAACTTTGAATTATGTAACATCTTGATGAATTAGTAATACAGTCACTAGTAATATTAATTATTACTAGGGAAACGGTATGCAATCAAAGTCGAGTGACTGATCAACTCAATCATCTCGGACTGGTTACTGACAGAGTAAAAGATCAATTTATTATTAGTTTTGATTGTAGTAATCAGACGATGGCTGAGAGATGAATTGCAATAAAACATTCTTTTTCTGATTAGCAAACCAGTAGAAATTAACGAACTGAAATGATTAAACAGAACAGGGTTTGCAAACCTCGTTTTATTGCTCTATTTAAGTTTATAGAAAAATCTAGTAGTGTAAAAAACTAAATGTTTTTTTTTATGTGGATAGAATCAATCTTAAGAGCTAACCTTTCAAGATATAAGTTGTCTTATTATAACCCAGCTACTCTTATTGTTTAGTACTCTTGGGCACTACTTCACTAAACAAGTCCTCGAATCAGAACACAGTTGAACAGAAATGTAATTGTACTTCGAATAACAAGGTTGGATGGAAGTAGCAATCGCAATAAGAAGAACGTTAGTATACTTATAGTTTTTACATAACATTCAAGAGTCTTCTACAAGTATCCGTTAGCTTTGATTGGTTACGAATAGTTAATCATCATGCTCCATCACAATCCTGCATGGAACATTCTTCGTTCTAATCTATATCCCACTGACAAAGTTATTTGCTTTTAGGATAATGAACCTAATATTTCCGTTTTATACGGTGTTACTCGAATGAACTCAATTTAAATCTTTGACATTGTATAAAAAATCTCAAGATTCCAGTTGATTATAAGAAAATATCGCTTTTAACTCATTCTCTTGAAATAAATAACAAGGATTTAATTTAGATTAAGTTGTTTACAAATGAACTCAAATCGAGGTGCTAAATACTCAAAGTTGGAACATTTGTGGAGTCATGCACTCGAAAATCTCTGGCATACAAGTAAACTTTAATAAGCATGTACAAGCTGCAGATGAGTTTTCCTTAAAATTTCATTTACTACAATACGAAAATATTTATTTTTCATCAAACTATTGCTATTTGAAACGTACAATCATATATTATCCTATAAAAATCTTGTAGATGGAGCAGCATTATTTTATGTGTCAGTGAAAGAAGATAAAAACTGTGATTTACTAAATCGTTACATTCGGCATCGTATTTATGGGTTTCCTTTTAGTCAAAGTGCATATATAGTAGAAGGAGATTGTATTTTCATGTAAGTAACTATCAAATGTATTTATCCTTTGTGAATTTCTAAAAGATATTTTTTGTAATAAATGAGAGAATATATGAACATAAGAAAATCAGAAGCTATTTTCTGGTTAATCAAAACATATTTTTAATATTTACTAATTAACTAAATGATTCATGATATTATATTAATTCCATTTAGACTACTAACTGTTATCGTTTCTTTTTTCATACATAATTTATCATAGATTAGTTACAAATCTATTGCTCAGAATTTGTTCCAAAATATCCTCATAATGTGCACAATGTAATTTGTTATTTACGATACGTTCTGTATTTGTATTGCACATAATCACTCTAGTTTTAAGTTCATTAATGTGAATATGGTACTGGTTTGAGTTTCTAGCGATCTGATTGGTGGTTGAGGATGGGAAATGTTTTGCCTGAATAAGTCGACGTTAGCATTTATTCTAGCTGAGTAGTGAAATTAATGTTATTGGCGTAAGCGGGAAATATAAAAATGTCAAGATAAATGTGAAGTTCAGAGACTGGACGATCAGAGTCAAGAAAAATCCCGAAAAAATTTATGGACTAATAATAGGCCTTTTGCCTTCTGATAATGGTTTGAGGAGACTGATGTTCTATATCCATATGGACGGCCAATGTAGAAATAAGCTGGAAGGAAGCTAGGGCAGACTAAACAAAAAACGCAATATCAGTCCATTAAGTCAGGGACTGTTGGATTGAGCCATATCAGTAGGTGCAGACTACCTGATTGGGGTCTGCGTGATTATCGTAACCAGTGGTTATAGACTTGAATGACATGGCTCCAAACCGTTTTCATTTATGTAAAATCTGTTAACCCTTAGTAGTGCTATTGTTTTCTTTTCCACAGACTATTCAGTTTTAAAAGGTTTAACTGATTAGCCAAGAACAGACTAAAAATTTGCCCCGATTATTTTAAGCTAGCCCTCATTCTGTGCTCATATTCACAACTGCTGCCACCTTGGTTTCCATATGACAGTAAAGTAGTCTTAAAAACTACCAGCTGAGACCTTTAAGGGATGAAAGAATACCTATAAATGACTGATAATTTCTGAAATACCCTTTAAAACTAGCTACAATTTACAATGATGATAGTGTTTTTAATGAATATTATGATCTCACATTTTGTAAATAGTGATTTATCATGGCAAGAAACTAGATCTTTGATTTGTTCAATAAATATTCATCTTTAGAAATCTGAATAGGAAAAGAGACAAAATAGGCTGAATAAGAAAAACATATTACAAAGATATATCATTTAAACTGTCTCAAATCAAAGAAGCAAATAAAATTAGCAAAATATCGAATTCTGAAACTAACATAAAACTGATATCTAAACACTGATTAAACAAGTAAAATTAATAATAATGAGATAGCAAAATATAGATATACGTCCACGGTTGTGAAGTGATATCTGTTTGTTTAAGATCTGAAATTGCTTATTATATCCAGTCCATGCTCTAAGAGACTCGTTAGTTACATGTTTGCTAATTGTTAGTGTTAATTTGCCTACACTAGCTAGTGTTGCAAACTTTTGTACAATACACTTCAAATGATGACTTCATAAGGGTCACCCAGTTCTTCAGATGCACAGATAAAATACTATAATTTTTTATCATATAATCTGTTGTCAATATCGGTGTTATATAGCAATATGCATTGACAAAGATTTCGCAAAGCTCGCTAATTAACGGTATTACCGTATCCTCTTTTACTTATCGCTGTTTATATCGTAGATTAGAAACTCAAACGTTAATAGATTATTAATTATTCAATGTCAAAGATCTTAAACTGTGAACGGTTAGTGAAAATGTTGCTTTAGGAATTATATGTTAGTGTTAGTCTTGTAATTTGTTTCATACATAACAAATCTATTGTCTGCTATCAAATTATGTGGAATCAGGTGATTCGGTTTGCAATTGAAGCCATTAAGGGACGTATTCTCATCAATCTCTAGTCCAATGATAATATGTGTAGTTAAATAATACAGGAAATAAAATTCGTTTCACATGGTCTTATATATATATATATATATATATATATATATATATATATATATATATATATATATATATACTGTCTTTATATTAGTTATGTCATACTACTACTCTTTGGGAACTTTGTCAACAAAATTCATGGCACTTATTTACTGTTGACACTAGTATTCCATCAAATTTGTATTGATTATTGAAAGAATATAGTACCAGTTACTAGACAGACTTCTAAGACAACACAAAAATAGGTCGACAAATAGTCTGGTATTAAAAATGCAATTTGAAGTAAAGGGAACTGTAAAGTTAAACTAAAGTAATGAAGGCTTACCGAAACCAGTCTATCTAAATATACACTATCAGTCCATCAAAAGCCTTTCAGAGATGAATTACAAATATATTACACAGATAGACATCTAGCAACAATGATAAAATATGAGGTCTGATATGAAATATATGAAATAAAGCTGTCTGGTGAGAAAGAATAGAAATAACAAAGTCAAGAGGTAATTAGTTATTATAAAAATTAGGGATTAGAAGCTGAACAAAGGTAAGGTTGTTGGTTCGATTTCGTTTTTTGACAGAGATCTCAAAACTTGTCGTTTAGTTTTCTGTTGATTCTTGTATTTACTTTTGAGTATATTAGTGGGGACGAGATTTATAGTATAAAATGTACACTAATGTATAATGACACTTGATTCATAAGCACTAAATGTTTAAATACTCTAAAAATGGTCTGTTCAACTAAATTCACGAGAATAGTGAAACTTATTCCATATCATACATAAGAGATTCTTTTGAAAATGACTGTTGTGTATAAACACATATCCTCCTTCTGCTTTTGGCGCTCGGGAAGTATTATTGCTCTCACGCAAATCGAATGATGGAGTGTAGTGCATACATAATTGGTGCCTTGTATCAGTGTTGATGTGTTTAAATAAATAAATAAATATACATATCTACATGAAATTACTACAACATGAATTTTATACTGACATTTTATAAAGATCTTTGGTTCATCTCGTACAAAGCCATCAGAAGAGGTAGGTTTACGCCTAAAACTGAAACACAGCTTGCAGACATGTGAAAATGTCAAAATGAATCCATTACTAGTTTCACATACACTCTCCAGATACATTGTATTTTAAAGACTTATTTATTTTCTTATACCAATGGTATGTAGCAGCTAAGAAGAGATTTAAGGGAACAATTTGATTCTGTTTGGATTTTGATCAGTCTCAGTTTATTTATATGTATTCTGCAGATTGTCTCGATATATACAGTAGTTCAAAAGTTTTTTCTAGAATAGATGGGATGTATCTAGAAGTGGGATTCGGGATGCTTGTTTCGTTCTGTTTGTGACTCATCAGCCTGATGTACCTGTATCTGAGAATTTATATTTAGTTAAACGTATCAACAACTGGCCATTCCATAATTAGTTACAGTGTCCATTAGGCAACTTATGATAATTTTAAAAATAAGTTTATCTGTTAAGTCTCACGTATAAATTATTACAAAACAAGGCATGGAACATTATTTTGGAGGGGTTCCACTTCAATATTCAGATCTTCAATGAACAGTTTATGGTGCTATATCAGTGTTGGACTGATATGAACAGTAAGAGCATTAACTCTATATTCCAAATATAAAAAGACGATAAGTCCTACATAAAACAAAATCTGTGTCGTGGATTTCAGTGCTAGGGATTATGGAAGAAAAAAATATGCAAGCAGAAGAAAAGAGTAAAATGATGTTCATGGTTATACAGGAAAATTAATTCTTTGCATTTATTCTGCGCAAAAAATATGAAATGAAAAGAAAGACATTTTTCGTATAAGCATAACAGTGAAATATCAGAAATTACCTTGTTAGTTTTACAATCAATTAATTCCATTAAAAGGGATAAAAATAATTAACCTAGTTATAAATTTTATACAAAGTGAAACGTGATTAGAAAAATGACTGGGCTCTCAAAATAAATGCCTAGTTCAGAGAGAAAAGTGAAACATGAAAACTAAGTCTTTAGACGCTCTCTGTCATAGAATGTTCTTTAAATTACAAACCAGAAACTTTGTATTTGGCAAAAGCAACAACGTATAAATGCTTGGATATTACAATTAAAGTATAAAAATGGGTTGCATTTATCATAAGAATGTATGTGTTTTATGTGTAGAGCAGTGCGAACTCAATTTAATTTTCTTTTTATTGAGAAATACAATTAATAACCTTACGATTTTTTCATATCTATATATTTATTGTTCAGTCCAGCAGGTTGGGATAATCATAAAAAGATTAATATCCTAGGTGATAATTTAACAAAAATCAATGCACAGCATCCTTTTTCTACCGTTATCCCAAGACCAGTACCACGTAAAGCAATTCACAGAGAACCAGAGATAATGGCCATTGATGAACAGGTATGCCGTAATACTTGTCATTTACTTTTTAAAATCATTACATAATACTCGTTGCATATAACATATGTTGAATATATGTCCATAAGTTGTACAAAAAGGACTCACTTCTGGGGTTGTTAATGGATGAAGGGAGATCTTAGTAAATTTGGAAACTACAGTGAAACCATACTACTTCCAATACTAGGTATTTTTCGACAGAATATTTCTGAATAAAATGAATAATTCAGAAGACCTTCAACTTTGAGATTAATAAAGCTGTCTTTCGCATAGATCAATCATATACCGAACAAACTGATGCACTAAGGATCATCGTTGTCTAGTCAGTCGGATGGAACTCATCACAATACATCAACTTTCTTGATTATGAGAGAGCATTCGATAGAGCTAATAAACAAACTTTGTGGAACTTCTTTAGACACTATCGTGTATCTGAAAAGCTTTTCACCATTAAATAGAACTCTTACAAAGGACTGGACTACAAAGTCGTACCTGAAGGACAGTTCACAACTCCATTCCAAGTGATAATCTGTCTCAGACGAGATTACCTAGTCCCACCTTTTCTCTTCTAGATAATAACTCAGTTATGAAGATAGTATTAGCGGTAATAGAGAAAACCAGGGATCTAAAATACGACTCAGGCAATGTAAATTAGTGACATAAAAAATTGAGGAACTTAAAGGATTATAATTTGGGGAAGACAAAGAATGGATGCACCTACGCCTTTATTTTGACGGACCAATTTACTGCCTGTATGTGTTGTCGGGAATCGGTGAAGAGATTTACTCAGGACCTAGAAATCTTAATGGATCCAAACGCATATCACTTCTGGCATTTGACCTACATAGTACCACTACACATAGTAATAATTGGAGATTTAACTAGACAGATTCAAAAATTACTTAGGACTGAATCCCAGTAGTACATGAGCACAATGGGTATTCAGCATTTTAAATAAGTTTGCTTAGTGAAAGCTAATGATTGATATAAGTGATTTATCTATATATTACTTTCAAATAGATCTAATTTTAGATTCACATTAGTATCTTCATTTAAATTAAGTCGTCATGACTAAAGAAATCACCACTTTTTATGGGAAGCCTATTACTATTTATTATTTTAAGGGATAATCCTGTTGCAACTAGAGTATACCACTTAATGAGTCTAAAGAATGCAGTGATGGGGAAAAGCTGCAACCCAGAAGAATTGTTACTGGTTTTTTGTCCATTACACTGGATAGCCTAATCGACTGGAGTGTCCAACCCAAATAAGGAAAAATCTTTAAAATATGTAAAATAAAGAAAACGTTTTTAAATATTAGAATAGCTACCGTGAATAAACGATGAAGTTACCATTTTCATGACAAAAAATGAAAAAAAGATTCCTTAGGAAACGTTTCCTGAGTTCTGAATTATTTTCCTAAAATGGTATTTGTTTTTAATTTGCGAATCATCAATAGTGTACACCTAATATAAATCCGTAAGCGAAAGCATTCTCCCATTACACTAATTTCAACAATCTACGCAACCAAGATTACAGGTTCACCTTGCTGACAAGTGCCAAGTAGCGTGAAACCCAGGTCCGGGTTTTTCTGTTGACTCCCTCCAACCACCATCTAATATATATACAGTGTTACAAGCATTTGTATATTCTTACAATTTTATATATAATAATTCTCAAGGAATATTGTTTTTTTACCTAATATAACAAAAAACCTTTAGCTATGGCGTATAATAATATTATAAAACCAAGATTTCAGAATAATACACATATTGTTAATAATTGTGAGGATCTTAAACCTTACATGAAAAACAAACACATGATTACAACTTCACCTCAATTATAAGTGTGTTCAATTGAAGAATCTGTGTGAAAATTTCTATTCCTATTTCATTATTTTATCAAAAATATAAAACTTTTTTTGTTATATTCAGCATAAATATTGTTTATTACAACGTGGTTAATAATAAGTTTAAATAATTGGTTTATTGTTTATTTATGTGCATAAAGTAAATCATTAACCCTACTAAGGTATGACACGGTTTATTTTGCAACCAGCTTATTTTCTCAGTAATAGTGCTATTGTATTGAACAAGAACACAGGCGAGGACAATCGAATGCACTTAACACAAAATTACAGGACTTGTTAATAAAATCTAACAATCATAAAGTAAATACTTAGTTTGCAAAATGTACACCAATCGTCCCAAAATGACTCAGACTTCATTGTTCTTGCATTTTCATACAAATTACATCCTGTTTCCATTCTTTATTGTTCGATCCTCTTGTCTCTCTGCTGCCAGACCTTCTGTTCACGACTAACATCATATACTACTTATGTCAATATAAGTAGCACACACCACACCATCAAAAAAACTAATAGACATTAAAGGAGTTGGAAATTTTCGAGAAGCAAGAAGCTCAAAAAGATTTTTTTCATATTCACTTAATCAGTAATGCAAAATCCAATGTTTTTTAAACAGTATATACAAAAGAAAGGCTTCAGTAACAACAGGTACATAATATTGTCTGATATTAACATCAAACTAGTTTGATGAAAAAATAATTACCATTCTGGAATTTATACAATTTACAATTCTCAATTCATAAATTTTGAGTATGAAGCTATCCTTCTGATTGTCAGTAATTTATGTGAAGCTTTACAGTTTGTGGCGTAAAAGAACATACATTGTAATTTATTACATAGCTTTAGTTTTCTGTAATGGAATAAAACTAGATATTTTCGCCATTCGACTTTTCCAAAGAATTATCATGGGTGCTTATTAGCCAATCAATAATTATTTTAGAAAATTGTTTCAAGTTTTTTAAATACGAAATATAATTTGGTGGGGTTTTATTACATGTTATTGATTATTGTAGGCTTTTCTCCTTCGACTTTCAACAATCAAAGAAAACGAGAACATAGATCCTAACATGCTAAAAGAATTCTTAGGCTCTGGGGGTTTACCGTCCAATTCAAAACAGCCTGCAAATAGTTTTAAAATTGGGTCAGGTGCTAAAACCATGGATGATAACAGTCGTTTACCGGTCAGTCCAACCCCTATATTTCGTACAAAAGTAAGTTGATTAATAATGAAGCGATAGATACATGAATAGTACGGTGTTGTATAAATACAATTTGATTACTGGTTATTTGGTTCAATAGGGTGTGTAGAGCTACAGAAAACTGATTTCGTATTTCAATGAATTATGAATAATATTTAACAAATAATACCAAGTAAAATATGTTTTTTTAAATACTGTAAGCCTATAATCTCAGTAGCGATAGTATTTAAAACACAGAAATTTCTTTACTGACTTTATGCAGACTTTTAGACTCTTGGTACTACAAATTTAGAAGTATGAACAAAATCAAAGGCGGAGATATGGTTGAAAAATTACTACAATTTCCTGAAATCATCTGGAAAAGATGCCAAAATCAAAAATAATCCATGGATTCGATCAATCATATTAGGAAGGAACCTGAATATAACAGGTTATCAAGTGTGTTGATTCATCAAACCTATTAAGGACAGTTCTCGACTGTTGTGAGATTTTTAAAAAAGTTTTCGATGTCTCTTAATAACAAAAATTTAGAATAAAATACGTGCAACAGTTTACAAAGAGTTTATATTAACTTTAAGATCAATGTATACTGATTATCTAACATTTCATCCATTTTCAACATTTTCTGAACAGATTTCTCCAGTAGGTCCAACAAATAATTTAACTAGCACTCCTATACAAGGTACTTCAGATGGCGTACTAGCTGATTTCTTTTCAAATCTGCTTAAAAAGCGACCAGTTGTAAATAACACTACTGGAGAAACGTCTACTGAGCCTCAGCTTCAACGTACATCACTATCATCAGGTAAGCTGAAGTAACAATGAATTTAGTACACACAACTAACAATGTTGTCCAGATACATTAAACTATTATATTGCTTTTGTAAAAGCTATTAAATGAGTTCTAACATTGAGAAAAAACTGATCAACAGATTAATGCTTTATTAAAACCTATTCAATAAATGAAGTACATAATGTAAAATCCTTCTCGTTTAAGAATTTAAGTCGCTATACATCAAATTAAAGAATGTTTGGATATTGACGTACAAATATATGTTTGCCCACAACTTCGAATACATTGGTTGCTTGGATCTTCCCACTAGTGTTTTAGGCTGTGATTAATCAGTCTCTGCACAAGCTTGTGGCTATCTAGACTTAGTAACTAAGTGAATAACGTGATGGAGTTTGAAGCAAACGGTACTGGGTTCAAGTTCCGGAATGAACGTTAACTGTGGGATCCAGATACATCCAGCTGACGCGTCCAAAATAGGATGAAACGCGTGTCCTGGATCATAATACTAGCCATCATCCATCTCTGCTTAAAGAAAACCTCATGGTTTGTTTGCTGATGAAAAACGATGGCTATGGAAATAGGATATTCTGATATATATCTATACAGTGTAGAAACTTTTCTACGTGAAATTGACAGAAACATTAGAAAAATAACAAAGAACAGGTGATGGGTGCTAAGCACCTATTGGATTGCATATAATCTTGGTTAACATTAATGCATGAAATTTGAACTGAATATTTCAGGTACTGTAGTGCTACCATAGATTTGAACTGGATGAAAAAAATCCAAATGATTACCAGATATAGTTAATATTGCCATCTCAGTAGTACTTCTTAACTGTATGTTCACACTATTGATACCTTACTGCATAAAAATATCCAAGTGAATTAGATCAAACATAATTAGTTATAAGTGATAAAGGTTCTTAATGAATTGAACTACGTTATGAGTGACCTTTATTCTCCTTCACAGATTTTTCAAGGACTAAAATATCTCCAGAAATACTCTAAATTTTAGGTTTAAAAATACCTTATTCTTAGGTTAAATGTTTATTCGAAAGGTATACTTGTTATGGAATTTTGAGAAACCAAAAAATACCGGTTTAATTCAAGATAAACATCACCTTACAAATAATACAAAACCGTATAATCATGTAGTGTCAGTTATTATGGCAAGCCCATATACCTTATTCTAACTTCCGGACATCCTATTTTATTCATTTTACTTGAGCCATATTTTGACCTTGTCAATTATTCGCTTGTCAGTCTTGACTGTTTTTTATATTGAGCGTATATGAGTGTACACTTCATATCCCATGATTCATCATATGTCTGTAGCTTATCTTGTCTGACTATAAATATGGAATAACACTTGACTAAAACGGAGTTGGCTTCCCAGCCATCCTCCCCGCGCGTCATTTCGCTTTTTTCTATCGCATTCACTTTACATACAAAATATGTGTATTCAATGGCCATTCTCGTTAATTGACTTATTTAATTCGGTTATTGGCTAACGCGATTTAAGTCGACGATGATAAACGAGAATCAGCGAATACAAACATTCATCATACAATCTAAATGGAGTCAGATCCACGAGCTACTTCAATCAACTCAATAAATTATTACAAACAGTTGAAAAAGTTAAGACGTCATTTAAAATATCTGTTCGAAGAGCAGAAAAAATCCTAGAATCAACCGTTTCACAGAGAATACACACAAAATGCTCTAAAAAATGAACATATTTATTAAATGAACTCAAATGATTAGTTACTGTAGGTTTCGAATATGTAATATCATTCAATAACTAAGAATTTTATAATTTGTAGACCAAAAAGACAAACAACAAGACAACATGGATACAAGTGTAAAATGTTCAAGGAACAGCATAGATCAAGATGGGGAAAAACTTTTCACTATTGGGATTACAGAAAAACACACAGAGTACGCGAAAGTGGAAACAGATTTTAACGACATTACCAAACAAAACGAATACACGGAGACTGATCATGAAAAAGTGAAAAACGAGAGTGACGAGACAACAAATAATGCGTCAGGAAAACTAGAAAAAGATGAACCCCAAAAGAAGCAACAATATGAGATAACAAAAGGGAAAAAAACAAAAACAATGGAAGAAAATAATGGACGCGAAGAGTCCGAAAAATTAGTAAGGTACAATGAAAATATACAGTCAAAAAGTGAAAATATAAATAGCGAGATACACGAGACGAGTAATCAGGATCTACAAACTCAAAACAAAACTCCCACTGAACTCAGAGAAAAAATTGGTGAAGTGGATAGTTCACAAAAATTCGACGCTCCTTTGGTCGCCTGTATGAATGCGTCGAAGGCACACTTAGATCCAATGACTGATCAACCACCTGTTGTCGAGTTGTCACAAACATCAGATAATCTGACTGACCACATTGACACAGAGCATCTAAACAACCAACTCCACACCTCTCCTGACAACACAAATCCCACTGATCTCAACGACGAAATCAATGAAGTGGACAGTGCACCGAACTCCGAGTCGACAATTGTTCCGAGTCACATATCTCCATTGTTAGGACACACCTCGGAAACCAGTATCACTACAATTCGCAGTGACACGATGACTGAAGGTCGTTCTGACGAGAACCACGAACTACCTGAGACTAGTCATCAGGACCTCCAAAATCAAAACAAAACTCCCACTGAACTCAGAGAAAAAATTGGTGAAGTGGATAGTTCACAAAAATTCGACGCTCCTTTGGTCGCCTGTATGAATGCGTCGAAGGCACACTTAGATCCAATGACTGATCAACCACCTGTTGTCGAGTTGTCACAAACATCAGATAATCTGACTGACCACATTGACACAGAGCATCTAAACAACCAACTCCACACCTCTCCTGACAACACAAATCCCACTGATCTCAACGACGAAATCAATGAAGTGGACAGTGCACCGAACTCCGAGTCGACAATTGTTCCGAGTCACATATCTCCATTGTTAGGACACACCTCGGGAACCAGTATCACTACAATTCGCAGTGACACGATGACTGAAGGTCGTTCTGACGAGAATCACGAACTACCTGAGACTAGTCATCAGGACCTCCAAAATCAAAACAAAACTCCCACTGAACTCAGAGAAAAAATTGGTGAAGTGGATAGTTCACAAAAATTCGACGCTCCTTTGGTCGCCTGTATGAATGCGTCGAAGGCACACTTAGATCCAATGACTGATCAACCACCTGTTGTCGAGTTGTCACAAACATCAGATAATCTGACTGACCACATTGACACAGAGCATCTAAACAACCAACTCCACACCTCTCCTGACAACACAAATCCCACTGATCTCAACGACGAAATCAATGAAGTGGACAGTGCACCGAACTCCGAGTCGACAATTGTTCCGAGTCACATATCTCCATTGTTAGGACACACCTCGGGAACCAGTATCACTACAATTCGCAGTGACACGATGACTGAAGGTCGTTCTGACGAGAATCACGAACTACCTGAGACTAGTCATCAGGACCTCCAAAATCAAAACAAAACTCCCACTGAACTCAGAGAAAAAATTGGTGAAGTGGATAGTTCACAAAAATTCGACGCTCCTTTGGTCGCCTGTATGAATGCGTCGAAGGCACACTTAGATCCAATGACTGATCAACCACCTGTTGTCGAGTTGTCACAAACATCAGATAATCTGACTGACCACATTGACACAGAGCATCTAAACAACCAACTCCACACCTCTCCTGACAACACAAATCCCACTGATCTCAACGACGAAATCAATGAAGTGGACAGTGCACCGAACTCCGAGTCGACAATTGTTCCGAGTCACATATCTCCATTGTTAGGACACACCTCGGGAACCAGTATCACTACAATTCGCAGTGACACGATGACTGAAGGTCGTTCTGACGAGAATCACGAACTACCTGAGACTAGTCATCAGGACCTCCAAAATCAAAACAAAACTCCCACTGAACTCAGAGAAAAAATTGGTGAAGTGGATAGTTCACAAAAATTCGACGCTCCTTTGGTCGCCTGTATGAATGCGTCGAAGGCACACTTAGATCCAATGACTGATCAACCACCTGTTGTCGAGTTGTCACAAACATCAGATAATCTGACTGACCACATTGACACAGAGCATCTAAACAACCAACTCCACACCTCTCCTGACAACACAAATCCCACTGATCTCAACGACGAAATCAATGAAGTGGACAGTGCACCGAACTCCGAGTCGACAATTGTTCCGAGTCACATATCTCCATTGTTAGGACACACCTCGGGAACCAGTATCACTACAATTCGCAGTGACACGATGACTGAAGGTCGTTCTGACGAGAATCACGAACTACCTGAGACTAGTCATCAGGACCTCCAAAATCAAAACAAAACTCCCACTGAACTCAGAGAAAAAATTGGTGAAGTGGATAGTTCACAAAAATTCGACGCTCCTTTGGTCGCCTGTATGAATGCGTCGAAGGCACACTTAGATCCAATGACTGATCAACCACCTGTTGTCGAGTTGTCACAAACATCAGATAATCTGACTGACCACATTGACACAGAGCATCTAAACAACCAACTCCACACCTCTCCTGACAACACAAATCCCACTGATCTCAACGACGAAATCAATGAAGTGGACAGTGCACCGAACTCCGAGTCGACAATTGTTCCGAGTCACATATCTCCATTGTTAGGACACACCTCGGGAACCAGTATCACTACAATTCGCAGTGACACGATGACTGAAGGTCGTTCTGACGAGAATCACGAACTACCTGAGACTAGTCATCAGGACCTCCAAAATCAAAACAAAACTCCCACTGAACTCAGAGAAAAAATTGGTGAAGTGGATAGTTCACAAAAATTCGACGCTCCTTTGGTCGCCTGTATGAATGCGTCGAAGGCACACTTAGATCCAATGACTGATCAACCACCTGTTGTCGAGTTGTCACAAACATCAGATAATCTGACTGACCACATTGACACAGAGCATCTAAACAACCAACTCCACACCTCTCCTGACAACACAAATCCCACTGATCTCAACGACGAAATCAATGAAGTGGACAGTGCACCGAACTCCGAGTCGACAATTGTTCCGAGTCACATATCTCCATTGTTAGGACACACCTCGGGAACCAGTATCACTACAATTCGCAGTGACACGATGACTGAAGGTCGTTCTGACGAGAATCACGAACTACCTGAGACTAGTCATCAGGACCTCCAAAATCAAAACAAAACTCCCACTGAACTCAGAGAAAAAATTGGTGAAGTGGATAGTTCACAAAAATTCGACGCTCCTTTGGTCGCCTGTATGAATGCGTCGAAGGCACACTTAGATCCAATGACTGATCAACCACCTGTTGTCGAGTTGTCACAAACATCAGATAATCTGACTGACCACATTGACACAGAGCATCTAAACAACCAACTCCACACCTCTCCTGACAACACAAATCCCACTGATCTCAACGACGAAATCAATGAAGTGGACAGTGCACCGAACTCCGAGTCGACAATTGTTCCGAGTCACATATCTCCATTGTTAGGACACACCTCGGGAACCAGTATCACTACAATTCGCAGTGACACGATGACTGAAGGTCGTTCTGACGAGAATCACGAACTACCTGAGACTAGTCATCAGGACCTCCAAAATCAAAACAAAACTCCCACTGAACTCAGAGAAAAAATTGGTGAAGTGGATAGTTCACAAAAATTCGACGCTCCTTTGGTCGCCTGTATGAATGCGTCGAAGGCACACTTAGATCCAATGACTGATCAACCACCTGTTGTCGAGTTGTCACAAACATCAGATAATCTGACTGACCACATTGACACAGAGCATCTAAACAACCAACTCCACACCTCTCCTGACAACACAAATCCCACTGATCTCAACGACGAAATCAATGAAGTGGACAGTGCACCGAACTCCGAGTCGACAATTGTTCCGAGTCACATATCTCCATTGTTAGGACACACCTCGGAAACCAGTATCACTACAATTCGCAGTGACACGATGACTGAAGGTCGTTCTGACGAGAATCACGAACTACCTGAGACTAGTCATCAGGACCTCCAAAATCAAAACAAAACTCCCACTGAACTCAGAGAAAAAATTGGTGAAGTGGATAGTTCACAAAAATTCGACGCTCCTTTGGTCGCCTGTATGAATGCGTCGAAGGCACACTTAGATCCAATGACTGATCAACCACCTGTTGTCGAGTTGTCACAAACATCAGATAATCTGACTGACCACATTGACACAGAGCATCTAAACAACCAACTCCACACCTCTCCTGACAACACAAATCCCACTGATCTCAACGACGAAATCAATGAAGTGGACAGTGCACCGAACTCCGAGTCGACAATTGTTCCGAGTCACATATCTCCATTGTTAGGAACTACCTCAGACATGTTAAACAGTTTATTACCTGATATTAATACCTCGTACGTTGGTCTTTCTGCCATTCTAGCTAACGAAAATAATGTGGCTGTTTTACCTGATATGGCTATATCGGGATCTGATTCTACATCCATTGTTCTTGCTGATGCAGGATATTCCCAAAATATATCGTCAAATGGTAATTCGATTTTGTCTGAGGATTGTTCGATAACTGTTACTTCACCGACAAATGAAGTAACTACATCTCGTGCTCCTTCAGTGATCAATTCACCACTCTCCATTCAAAAGTCCCTAGAAAGTATAAAAGTTCATTCGCGTTTGAAACCGTCGTCTTATACGAACACCACAATTCAGAAGAACAAATCTTTACCGCCAAGCCCTAAACTATTACAAAAACCAACAGTTAAACAATACATAAGTGGTTCACAAAGGTCACCTACAATGACTGGACCGAATTTTGGACAGACAAATATTTTAACGAATACTAAAACAAAGTATGCAAGTTCAACAAGTGCGAATGCATCACCTAATCTTATCAGAAAACCATTATCTTCCTTGTCAAAGAACACTGATAGTAAAAAGTAGAACAATTTTATTTTTAGTATGTCACAAAAAGAAACAATGAGAAGAAAAAGTAATTTTTCCACATTATTTTCATTACGATCATTATTTTACTTAAAGTTTTTACTTTTAATTATAATACATAACGTAGAGTGATTGTTCTTAACCGCTTTATTATAAGATATTATGAGGTTTTATTCAGGATATATATATATATATATATATATATATATATATATATATATATATATATATATATATAATGAGCCTTCTCTTATAACAACATTGATATTCATATTTTAATGTATTTTTTTGGTGTTTCCTTCATTTACTAATGACAACAATAATAATCATAAAAAGAAAGTTAAGACGTTGAAACGAAATTAATGGATGGTGTTAAAACAACCATATTACTATCACTTGAGCATAAATAACTAAATTCACCCACTTACCAGCTACTTGTGTATAAGCCACACTATATGTGTGGGGGCTAATGATATTGCTCGGTTGCCGAATCTGAAGTAGGTGTAGCGGGATTTCAACCTAGAAATCGGTGCCTGAAAGTCGAACAGCTTAACTTTATTTGACGGGGCGAGATACACACAAATAGCATACAACTCTATTTGAAAATAGCACGCAAAAACAGTGTGATGCAATGTCCCATTGCCCTTATCAAAACATACAACAGGTTAGGTCACCATCACTTAAAAAAACATAAACCATCAGTTAGACAGAGTGAATGGAAGTGATAACTTAGTCGCCTGTTTTGACGAATTCGATTATTTAACCACATAAGTTTCCGGACACGAGAAATTTGTGTCATACACTGAGTTCTAAATGAAAGATTAAACTGACCGATAAAGATAAACGAGCAAATAGTAGTTTAAATGAAAAACGACTTCCAATTAAATCATATAAATAAAGATATAGATCAAAATTTTAAGCAACTGGACACTAAAAACTAAGATCACTAGGTTAATACAAGACTCACAGTATTCCTTTTAATGAATAAATCAGGTTTATATCTTGTAATAGAGATACCTTTAACAAAGCTGAGTTTGGACGTACTTGCTTAATGATTAATTTGAATGATTTTTGAACGTCAGGTAAGTGACCACTGAATACACAAGAAACATTTAGTTTGAAATTGTAAAAAATAGGTTTAAAAATGAAGATAATAAGCCTTGCACTTGTTTTTCCATGTACATGCTTTGAGACCTTTATATTAACGGGTATACGACAAGTTGTTGTCACACGATGTTACTTATGATTGTGATAGAAAAGAGGAAATATGCACTTGGGCTTAAATTCCGAATATTTTATTACATTCCTGTGTTCACTCATTTATAGCCTAAACAAATAATTTATTTTCCAGTTTATTTGTTACTCAATTTCATATTGCAATAATATTGATCAACGTCACTATAAATTTGCTTTTAAATTAGTTTGACTAAAATTTTATTTCATTAAGTTAGTTCTCAAAAATCTTGTATATAAATTCCTTTTAAATACATTTGACCATTAGAAACTAGAATTTTCAGAACCACATTTACTTCTGAACAACAATACCCAAATGAATAAAGTTAAAATTTAAAAAAAGGTGAAATGATCAAATTTTTATTAGGATAATTTATGAAATGTAGATAAGTTTTCCTGGGAGAAACAACGCCATGATCAAGTGAAAAGTGGATTTTCGGACAAACCATCATTAACATTAAAAAATACGCGCGAAAACACACTTGAGCTCCTAAAAATCACAATCTTAGTGGCTAATTTTCGATGGGGCACATAGCTGCCACAACATTTTCCACCCAACGAAAGCAATGAAAAATTTATTTTTCAGTGTTTCTCTTGTTAACTGTAGGAGAATTGAAGCCAGAAAATAGTACAGAATTGCACAATTATCGCAGATATTGAATCATTCATTTGAATAGCGCAGTGTAGCCGCCTACTACTCAACACATTTGTTTCATGTGTTACTTACGTCATAATTCTACCAAAATCCAATCCATTCCACCTCGTTTTTAAATATGAATAGTTTTACTGGCGGAACCTCAGATGATTTTAACGGTACAAATTATACAGCATTAAGATAAGGATGTACCCCAAGTGCATACAATCATCTGATGACAAAACTCTAGAGAAGATAGTTACACAATTACCATGATGTACGGTGTAACTCAATGTAGTTTATCTAAGAAGACATTAAGCAGACAGACAGTTCTACTACTGTATAAAAATGTATCATATTTGTAACATTCTTATCTGTAACTGTACTCTAGTACAATGACTAAGTTCAAAGGTAAACAGAATGTGGCAATGCCATAAAGCTCAATGAGATTATATAATACTTTATATATATCCTCACTGAGAATTAGGAGTAGAGTCTGTGGTAAAACCGTTGGATCAAATCATAAGAATTAGGAAGTACCGAGGCAAGTTAATACATACTCACACTGTATAACTAGACACCTAATAACTGCAGTTTAGATTGCATAGATGAGTCTCACAGAGAACCATCGATAGTGATTCGCAAAGCTTCTATTTAGAATATACGACTTCAATCTTGAGCATGCTAAACTAAATTATTCTACATTCACTAAAAACTTCTTGCACACTTCCTATGCTGCTTGCAATTATGGAAATCTGAGCCTGTGAACTAATATCACAAGTATTACCCCTCTTTAAACGTTGATTGTCTTTAAATAAAAACGATAGTACAACTAACTGTTCGGTCAAACGTTGGAGAGTTTCGGGAATAAGCCTTCCTGTTTCAGATTCACCGTGACTGAGTAACCATGAATTTAGACCGTATCCATGCACACGCTTTGTGAACAGCTTACAACTTATCGTGATGGTAAACATTAGAAAATTCAAACGTAAACACTACAGTTCGCGATATGTTTTCCTCCTAGTCTATCTTTTGAAGAAACAATAGGGGGTTAGACTAGGATTCATGCATCCAATATATAGTGAATGAGAAAAATAGATGTAGTTAAAACTGGGCTTGTATTAAATCTCTTTAATCTATTTAGGAAAAGTGTAAGTCAGTCAGCTACAACGTAGGACCAGGCACATATATGCACCGGTCCAGGTTGCCATACCGCATTAGCACAACAAGATGAACACCGGATTCATAGGAGTGGTTAGGTCAAAGGTGGTAATATATAGGAGAAAGATTGCATATAAGGATACAGTACAGGAAGAAAGAATTAGTTAGTAGAAAGAAAGATATGAAGCGATTTTAATCTCTTAGTTTAAGGAAAGACAGAGAGTGTATACACCACACCCACGCCATTGTGATCGATTCTGAGCCATGCCACCAGGAGTCTCCAACCATTGGTCACCATAGTCACGCGGACCCCAACCAAGTAGTCTGCATCCACCAACATGGCTCAGACTAGGGGTTAGTGATTTCAAGCACTGATGCCACGTTTTGGTTTGGCCGCCCCTAACTTTCTTCCAACCATCTCCAATACCGGATAGCATTGCACGTCGTGGTAGTCGGTGTTCAGGCATACGTAACACGTGGCCCAACCATCTCAGTCGATGAAGATTCATAACCTCATCAACTGATTCACCATCATTCCCTAATACCCTGCGTCTAACTTCACTATTACTTACCCGGTGATCCCAGCAATATTTCTAAGGCATCTGTGGTTAAATACTAGTAGCTTACGGGTGTCTTCTACTCTTAAAGGCCATGTTTCGCTGCCGTAAAATAAAACAGAACGGACTGCCGCGCAGTATACTCGTCCTTTTATTGATAGACGGATATCTCGCCTTCGCCAAAGGTGACGTAAGTTGGCAAAAGCCAAACGAGCTTTTCGAATCCGTGTTGAGATTTCGTCCGATACCAACCCATTAGGGCTGATCAGACTTCGAAGATAAGTGAAGTTGTCGACGCGTTCGACTACTTCATTCCCTATCCTCAGTTCAGGTGTTGACGCGGGCCAGTCCTGAAGCAACAACTTGCATTTAGAGGAAGAGAAGCGCATTCCAAACATTCTGGCATTGTTGCTTAGTGCTGTGGTCTAGTGGTTAGGACGTTGCGTTGTGGAAAAGTGTAAACAACTATATGGCTCTAATACATATGTCGTTAACTGACTTACAGTAAGCATCTATGATAACCACTAACAACTTACAATTTCAGTATTAATTAATTTATTAATCATAAGAAATATAGTACTTTCGAGTAGAAATCACTGAAAGATAACAGCGTATTATTTGATATTTTTGTATAGTGGACACCAGTGGGATCCAAGATGCATTATTAAGTCTATTCGGAACTCAAACCCAGAACAAATGAAAGAAATATATATAATAAACTTGTAACTACAGGCATTCGCTCAAAACATTCGCCATCTAATAGACTGAATAAGCTAAGTCTTGAATATCAAACAACGGAAAAACACAAATTCTCACTAATTGCAATAAATGTATGTTTTTATTCAATCGTTTCAAGGTAACATTAAAGTGAACTAAAATGTTTATGTTAAAATTGATTCTTGGTGGACAAGAGGAATAGGTAGATTTGGCTTTGTATCAAAGAACATTAAAATGTTTGTTAAACATTTTAGTAAAATTGAATCAAACAGAAAAGTAAAAGAAAGAACAAAAGTGAAAGAAAATTTACAATACTTATTGAGTATACAATCTACCGATAATAAGGTGGTTTGGCAACATGAATACCCCTATCATTCAATGAAGCAATTAAATCTTCCAGTGTAAGAGTGGCGCGACGATCTGTGGGAAATTTATTGGTCCCAGGTTTTCCACCTAGAAAACAACATATTATAGAGATCATAGGAATTGACACAAAGTGTAATAGGATGATTTTAACACTAAGAACGAAATTCGATATAGTTGATTTAAATAACTGGTTGAAAATTGTTTTTATTTTTGAAATTAAATCAGTGAAACCAAAGGTACGATTAGATACATTTATATGAATTAAAAATTACAAACGAGATAAAAAACTATAACATTATTATCCCTTAGCTCGTAGGATTATTCTGTGGAGATCTAAGTTACTCGTTTTCTTCAAATTATTATTATTATTTGAACATATAGACATTGGTACAAAGAGGCACCAAATAAATATGTGCCACACAAATTTCATTTGAATTGTGTGAGGGTATTTTTCGAAATGTAACTTACTCAACATATTACTATCTTTTCCACCTGTTTTTCTGTTCATTAAAGACTTTTTTAAGATTTTTATTTATTCATAGTCAGTCAATTAGTCACAACGTAAAACCTGTATATTTGTACATCGGTCCAAGTTGTTATACCCAATTATCAGCGACATGAAGATGTCAGGCCAAATCCCAAAACAGTAGAGTTGAGTATCGGAGATACAACTGGAAAATTAAATATAAATGAGCGAAATGAAAACAAAAATATTGTGAGGAATTTTGAATCTCGGAATTCGGGAGGAGGATAAAGAATGAATGCATTTGCGCCGTTGCAAACAATTTTGAACCACTGGTTACGATAATCACACAGACCTTAACCAAGTAGTCTTCACCTATCGAGTATGGCTCAATCCAACAGTCAATGACTTTATGGACTAATGTTGTATTTTTGTTTGGCCACCCCTAGCTTTCTCCCGGACTAATTCTACACCACACAACATCGCCTGTGAAGGTAGGCGGTGGTTGGGGGTACGTAACACATGTCGCAACCACCTCAGTTGATGAAGATTTACCACCCTATCAATAGATTTTCCACCCTTTCCTAGCATCCTTTTCCTAATCCAGGCATTGTTTTCTCAGTGCTCCTAAAATACTCAAGCAATCCTTTGGAGACATCTATCATCGGACACTAGTAATCTACGAATATTCTCTATTCTTAGTGCTCATGTTTCACACCCATAAAGTAGGATGGAGCGAACCGATGCGCAGTAAGCTCGCCCTTTCGTTAGAAGACGGATATCTTGCCTAAGTCACGAGTGGCACAAGTTGGCAAAAGTCAGTCAAGCCTTCTGAATCCGCATAGAGATTTCATCAGACACCAGACCATCTAGACTGATGAGACTCAAGATAAATGGAGTGGTCAATACGTCCAACTACTTTAATCCCTATCATTAATTCAGGCGATGACACTAGCCAATTCAGAAGCACAATTTTACATTTACGGCGAGAGAATCACATCCCACACATGCTTGCATTGTTGCTAAATGTGGTCAGAAGACTGCGTTTTGTTAGCATCTTCATAAAACAGAACTATACCATCTAGGTATTCTAAGTCAGCAAGTGAATCTCCTGGTAGAAGATCAACTCCTAAAAAGTCAGACTATGGGCGTTGTTTCTAAAAGCATGTCCATCTATGGAAAAATTAGATGAGTGGGAAAGTGGACAACTTTGACAAACACCATAAGCTTTGACCCGACCAGTGTGATACGAGTAGAGACCCTGTACAAGCTTAATGTGCTTCCTTCGTACGCCTTTCAATGGCAAACACTACCACAGAACCTCACGATCAACAAATTCGAAAGCCTTAAATTCAAGAAATACAACCACTATTAGATGTCGAAAGGTATGTTTATGTTCCAGAATCTGCCGAAGGGTGAATAGTTGGTCTATGCATTTATACATCCACGTCCATGTCTGAAACCAGTCTGTTTTTTCTCGAGTTCACTCTGCACGTGTTCTAGTTAGATGTCGAATCATTATTGGGGCTAATATTCTAGGCACTGTATTGGTGAAATTGATTCCTCTGTAACTGTCACAGGGGGATTTTTGTCCTCTCTTGTAAACTGAGACGATCGGCGACCGAGACCAGTCTGGTGGAATTACGCTCAGTTCCCAGATTTTAGCTGACATTTCAGTTAATCTAACTGCTAAGACTGGAACACAATCCTCAAAAATCTCAATGGTTAGTCCAACAAGCCCTGCCGCCTTTCCTTGCTTTAGATTACTTATAGCCTTTTCAACCTCACTAAGAGTTGGAGGATATAATCGGTAGCGGAAGTGTGGCTGAAGTCCAGTTGAACTGTTCCCTAAAATGTTTCGTCCATCGATCCAATTCCTTGGATTGAAAGTGAGCAATAGTCCCGTCTCCTTCCGATATAGTTTCACTAAAAGCAGTATCTTTAATACCCATTTCCTTGTTAATTCTGGACAGTTGTCTACTGTTACCTATCGCTCCTGCCTTTTTCACCGCTTCTGCTTTCGCTATACACCACTGCTCATCATCATTGCGTAAGCTTCGTTATCAGCCAACATTTAAGCTACCTCCGCTTCTCCTCGTGTTCTGACGCAGATGAGACTAGTTTCCGAGCATCTATCGGTCGTGTAGACGCCACTGAACTCCACTGATTCTTCCTAACGTTTTGGTTTAAGTTACTAGTAGATGTCACTGTTATTTCCACAGCTTTTTGGATATTATACTTAAGCTACCTTAGGGTTGGTACAATTTTCATAGTTGACTAGTTCCTTTTCTAGTTGTTCCAGAAGTATATTCTTAACTTTCTCATCATTAAGTTGGACTCAAGTGGGTTTTCTTGATGTGGCTTTCCCACGTCCACTAAGACGCAGACAAACACGTGCTTGAATAAGAACATGATCCAAGTCTAATAATGTGCTCCAGAATGAACGACAGTCTTCAATCGAACCTCTACAACAATGACTGGTGACAATGTGATCTATTTGAGTCCATCATTGAGTCGGTCGTGGGGTTCACCATGTCCGAAGACATTTTTCTTTATGATTAAAGTTGGTACTTACTAGAAATAAGCGGTTATCTGAGCACAGATGCACCGGACGGTCGCCATTATCTGTTCACTGAGCTGCAACACTGTAAGATCTACCTAAATGCCTTTCGGTTTGGTTTAGTTTACTTGAGCAATGGAATCACCTGCCACTATTACTACATCAGAGCGCTTAGCTTTTTGGAGATTGTAAAGCTTCCTATTAGAATCATTAACTTTATCCGAGCTACAATCAGTGGAAGCGTAGGTAGAGACAACGATAAGGCAATGTCGTGCGTCCCTATCTTTCTGAGTCCTTACTGTTCCGTTTAGTTGGACAGCGCTTAAGCGACTGTCTTTGTAATCCAGTATAAGAGAACCTGCTGCTGAACTTAATGCTAAACTTACACCAACGATACCACGGGAAGTAGCAGTTGAGTCTCCAGACACTGAAAGAGTATATCATGCCGTTTCTTTATATTAAAAACTTGAGGTCAAGCGAATGACTGTACTTGAATCCTGTATAAGCGTTTCGAAGACACAGCATACAACGATGGCACAATATTCCAGAATTCTAACTAAAGAAGCCTGTTATCCCATTCGACACAATGTTTGAACATGAAAAGCTCCAACACATAGTTTTAGAGTGGTTTCGAGATACCAGGAAAAAATTTCATGAAGTCAAATCATCAGCATTGGTCGTGTGTGGTGACTAAGATGTACAAGCAGGGTAAGTCGAGGGGATGTGGGAATTATTAAGTGGTGAGGCAGGGATTTGGTTGTTAAAAAGATAATCTCGAGTGATGAGGGGTATGAGGACAGTTGTCGATTCCCGGATTCCTACATCGTGGAAGGATATTCCTTGAGGTTTCTGAAAAGAAAGCTAGGTTATTGGTGGTCTTAGTGACGTATGAACGTATCCACAGAGCAAACGGGACAACTGTTGAAGGCTGGTCACGTACGAACTTTTCATGCGAGTTTTTTGAAGTGTTAGCTCCGCACCACAAAATGCCTTGCCGCCGGAAATAGAAATTCGTGAAAAGGAGTGAGGCATGACATTTTTAAGGTCAACCCTTTATAACGCCTTCTTTCCGTTGTGAGAAAACAGCATCGCTGCAGATGCTTATGTCCGAGGGAAACGCTGTACCGCTCTCAAACTTCTCTACAGTCAACAGTACGACTTCGTCCACGTATCTTACATTGCTGCCTTTAGTCCGTTTTCCACCCGACCTGTCTGGTATGGTAAGACCTAAAGGTACATATGTTTCGGTCAGTATGGCTGGATTGAGTCATCACGAAAAGCAAGTTCGCCCACCACATTAATGCATCAGCTAAGGTTGTGAGGGACTAATAGAAGCCAGTCTAGTACAGCTTTCTTACATACGACGACACCATGTCATAAATGGATCACCTCTCCGCTTTTTCCAACCAATCCCAACGTAAGCAAACAATTCACGACGTGGAATTATCTGGGACGACATTCGTAAGACATGTCCAAGCCACTGAAGTCGATGTTTCAAGATAGAGACACCGATGGAATTATCGTCGTTGTATCCAAATACACGATGCAGAACCTCTGCATTACTAGCATGATGTTGCTACTACATGTCAGCAATCCTTCAGAGACAACGATAATCAAGCACAAAGAGTCATCTAACATCCTCAAATTGGAGAGGTCAAACCCCATAAGCATAGAGCCAAACCGCGCCCACTGATGCGTTGTAGATCCGACTCTCATAGACAGACTGACATCATGAAGGCACCGAAGATGGCCCAGATTGGTATAAGCCGCTCTGGCTTTCACCATACATGGATCGATCTCATCACTCACGCCATCGCCAGCACTTACGCAGCTAACCAGATACACGAACTTATCGACTATTGTTTACTCACTATTCAGCGTGAGTTCAGGGTCCTGCCAGTTTTGTAAGAGTACTTTGCACTTTAAAGGTGCAAAACACATGCCATACTTACGGACACTGACTGCCAACTAACTAGGTACGGATTCTATGGATTGAGTATCATCGCACAGTAAGACAACATCATCCACATACTCAAGGTCGAGAAGTCTTTCTCCAGGCAATGGAGCCAAAAAACCATTATCTACATCAATCAGAGCTCTTTCCAGAACATCATCGATAGCAAACTTGAAGAGGGACAGTAAGATTAGGTAACACTGTCTTGAATGAAGCAATGGGAAGAGGTAGCTATACACCCTCACTCTGCCTGAGGTGTTTATATATAGGGCTTTCAAGATGTTAGTAAACTTCTCAGGCACACTCTTTTTCAATAAACAATCCCAGGAAAGTCCTGAACAAAGGATCGAACTATCGACTCATTTCACAGTGTTGGAGCACTCTCTAATTTCCAAACTTTTGCAAACACTTCAGTCAGTTCCTTAACCCGGTCGCAAGTATCTGTAGGATGTAAGTTATCTAGGCCTGTTGATTTGTGGAGCGTCAACCAATAAGTTTCCATCGGCCACCTAAACAAATCGCTTCTGTGCCTAGACGCTAGATCTGAGCATTCAGGTCTCTGGCTAGTCCTACAGCATCGGTCGGACGCACTTTCTGCAGGACACTTAACTAGTGGCAAAATTCATTATTGGTCGCATCCAGGTCGGAATCTGTCCGAGACAAAGCGATGAAAAAAATACATCGTTCCTCACACCGATTTCTCACTTTTATGGGGCCTTTTATATCTGTCCTACCGGTTAATTGCTGCCAACAAGCATCTGTGAAATAGCCTTTCAATGATGACACTTTGTTGTCCACGAAACTAGATTTATGTAATTGCGTGATGCCTTTCTGTAGGTGATCTGGTATCAACACCAATATAGGTTTGTGGTTGGAATATCGATCTCTTGCATGAATAGCTTTCACGAAATGATGTATGCAACTTCAAGTGAAACACTACTTGGAGCTAAAGACGGAAAACTCAATATTTTTTCACTAAAATTTGCAATGAGTTTCCTAAGTATACCAGATGTTTAGACCACCACGAACGTAAAGCTGGTTTGCTGAATGACATTTCTGCCATCATATTGGAATTTTTTAGTTTTTATGCTACCATCATTAACAGGAGAGACGTGGAACTTCATGGACGGGAAACAAGTAAATAGTCGTCTTAAAGAGATCGCACATGACAATGAAGTGGCATTTTAACATCTTGGCCAAGACTTAAACACAATAATAAAGCTAAAGCATTAAAGTAAAAAGTGAGCAGCATGCCACAGTGTTATATTCAGAGACTACCACGAACTTCTATTCTGCTTAGAACGTCGACATGAATGGTGCGAATTTAAAACAAAATTTAATAGTATTAGTATTACCCAGGTTTTACTTTTAAAAAGCAAACAGACTGGTTTGTATATTATAATACAAGAGGAAAACAAATACCGCTATCAATACATTATTCTTCAACGAGAACCTTGTTTGGGACTAAGTTATAAGAATAGACAATCGAAACCATTTTATTATACCGTGATGTATGCTACTTATGTCTGTCGACATAAGTAGTATGTAACATAGGTCGGAAATGGAAAACATGGCAGCAGAAAGCTAAGAAGATCAAGCTGAAGAGAACAGAAATGGAAATAGAAAGAAATTGTGAATTGGAGGAATCATACAGAATGTGAACGATAAATGGTGGAAATTCGCAAATGAAGTATTTAATGTATGGTTTTTACAACTATTAAATTACTAGATTTCCACAAAACCCCTCTCTGATTACCAAAAGAAGTCTGTTACCATTTGACCACATTGGATCATTTATTGATTTGTATTCTGTTTACTTATTTTAGAAATCCAAAACTGAACGTTACTTATCAAACACTCAAAATTAACCTATATAACAGAAGACTAGAACGAAAATCGATTAGGATATAAGTTGAATTGGATAAGCGGATAGAATTATTCAATCACCTTAAGCAACCATAGGTTGGACTTGTCTAATTATCTTGTATAGATCTACAACTTCCAACGCTCTTTTGTGTTTTTAGTCTATACGGAAGAGACTTTTGTGAATGTAACACTGTTATAACAAATCACAAGTAGATTGAGCTGTACTTACTAGATGATGGAGATTGTGGAATAGACTGACTTGGGTTGCTCGTTGGTGTTGTAATAGGATTTATGGAGGACGGATTAGATGCTTGACCTGGTATAGATGTGGACACACTAGGATGGTTTAGCAGCCCAGTAGGTTGTCCATTTGCAAGGCGCCAATGAAGCATAGCATCAGAAAGGATATCAGTCAGAAATTTTTGACCAGCTAGACTGATTAAACGGGCAAGTCGTGGGTCGCTGTTTTCCATTTGCACACCAGCACTCTCTAACATAGCAACCGATAATCTGTCCGGAATCTGGAAATCGACAGGGAATAAAAAAATGGTATATATAGGATGTTGGGAACCATAACCAGAATTATTCAGACAAAGTTGAAGAAATAAGGTCAACCAAGCTTATGAGCTTTAATGATATTACAATTGATGTAACTGTCTATTAACGATAGTACAAGGTATTAACTTTACCTAAAATGTTTTAACATCACACAGTCATATCTGTTAGGTACAATAGAGTTCTAAAAAACCATTTACTTGACATTATTAGTGTGACGGGATTGTACATTTCCATTCATAAAAACACAAGTCGGATTTTATTAGTTATTATTTATTAATCTTATCATGAGATTTGCATATAAATACTAGCATTAACTGAAGCAACATACGATTTGGTTTCATCTAGAGTGTAGTTTTCAACCTAGAAAGTGAAAGTTATATGTATCACCATTAATTTTATGTCTAATAATATCTATTGAGTATCTAGTCAATAAACTAAAAAAAGCACGAAAACGAATGTTAAAATTGAGGTATTTTTGCCAATACTAATCTGATATGTGGCGAGAATAATAGATTATAACTGCATGGTGAAGACAGGACAAAGAGAATAATTTATATGTACAGTTAATTTACATGAGAACGATACTTAACCCAAATATGTATGCAGCCGACAAGAAAAACATTTATAAACTACAATCATTGTTCTGAAAAGTTATTATAACGACCATGTGTAGAGAACAACTCATTTTCGTTTATAAAGAAAACTTAAATTCGTTAAAGAAATTTACCACATCTGTGTACAAAATTAATACACTTTGATTGAGACACATTGTTAATAAAAACCACTTACTGTAGATTGAATGTGGTCAAGCTGAGTCCATAAATTGCTAAGAAGCACACCACTAGTATTCTCAGAACCTGAAGATACAGGAACCGACGATGTCGTTAGGCTAGGCGTCTGACAGCTATCTACAACAGATGTTATAGGAGTTTTTGGAGTCACAGTTCCAATAATCATGAAGATTTTCACCGGAATATGAGTCACAGTCAGAAAAAAATCTGAAAAACATAACCAAACCGCAAAGAATTAAGCATAAATTATGTACTGAAGAAGAACACTTTTTATAAATTAATAATCTAACTTAACTGAACCAGGAAATCAAATAAGAATAATTCTACAAGGATATTTCAATAAAGAGTATAAATGACAGATCGTATAGTTAAAATAGTACTGTACACTGCATATTATATAAATATCCAGCAGCATACATACATGCTGTTCTGGCTTTATAAATTTGTATTTCAAAGGTTGTAAATGATTTCATCTATACATTCACATTTATTTTATGAAGATGAAAAACAATAGTGTGGAACCGGGAGAGAAACTGCTATCCACCAGGCTACAGCACTTCACAAGAGCAAAAACAGAAAATGGGTCAAGTAAACTAGAATAAATTAGATATGAATAGGTAGATGGTATATTAAAAATACAGAACGCGTCTGTGTCTTAGTAACCAAAATTAGACAGTATTACCTCGGGATTATGACAAATATTTCTTATAAAACATGAACATCAAAAAACCATATATATAAACATATATATAGCAGCAATTAATTACATGAATCAGTGTCACATTTCCACTTGATCAATTGAATAAGCTACTCTAATTTATCCCTATTGTGTGTTTAAAAGGTGGCAGCAACTGATCGGGAAATACATGTAATAATTCCAGAATGTTTGAGTTTATGCTTAACACGCTTACAATGAAAATCTACATGAACATTATTTACACAACAAGTAAAGTGGGATTATAATAATGAAGAATGAATCAGTATCCAGATATTTTAATAAGTTTCATTAAGATACATAGTAATAACCATTGGTTAATTACTTTACTTGTATAAGTATTTTGAGCTTAATGATAAAAAACAAAGTTGCAAAAATGTTGATATTGGTATCATCTTTGGTTTAAGTTAGAAAGTCGGTTAACGTTTATGTGAGTATGCTGTCCGTATGAGTTGATTTCCAATTGCATTTGCATCAGCAGGTTTACTGCAGGAACAAAGGTATAACCACAGGGAGAAAGAATTCCAACTAGTGTTTCAGTTGAAGTTTAATACGGTTTATTTAGTTGCAGGGAGGAGTTTCAAATAACTGTTAAATTCAAATGGCATAGAGATTATGTAATGCAACCAATGTACAAACCAAGTTATTATATACATTGATGAATATAACAACTAAAAAAGGGACCTGGCAGAAAAGTTGGGACACGACTTATGGAACATGACGGGCATAATATAAAATTCCCACAAGCGGTTGCCGTAGTTAGCCTAGCAACATTCATAAATATGTACTAATGGTAATCAGAACTAGGAAGTACAAAATTTTTGTTCGATTTAATATGGTCTTCCTGAAAATACTTCCTGCCATAAATGAAATAAGGGAATAAAATGTACGAAACAACATTGAAACTCTACGCCATTGTTTAATGAGATATGTTCGTCAGCTTTTTCAACCAATGAGCACGATTACCATGCGGGCTCCAACCAGATAATCTGCACCTATTAATCATCAATGATCTAAGGGATTGATGTTATATCTTGCTTTGAACACCCACAGCTTTCTCTCGACCTACTTCCAACGCAGTTAATGTTGTGCACAGATGTAGGATGTTAATTGGACATATACAACAGTTGTCCCAGTTCCTTCAATCACTGATTCAGAAGACTGGCTTGCGATCGGAACGTATCAAAACTGAAATGGAGTATAAGAATTAACTATATAGCTTAATTAGAAACCTATGTTTGCTGATAAGTGATGGGGTGAATTAGTAGTTAAATAAATCAACCTGTGAATAATATGTTTGGACCATGCTTATCTATTTCCATCTGTAAAGTTGAGTAGTATCACAAACGTGACCTGAAGTTTATATGGACTAGCAGTTAGACATCTAGTTGTATGAAATTTTACCACTGAGTAAAGGTATGGTTTTGTAGAAGGTATTAGAACAAGATTCGGTCGACACACCTCATTTGACTTAACTCTCTTGTCACATCGAAAACATAGATAGGACATATAAATAATAGTTAACATAAACAGATCACAAAAAAGAACAAGAAGACAACATCATTAGGACAGTTAGAACACAGGCTTTTTTGGAAATTATATTATAGTAAGGTATAGACCGTACGAAATGAAACAATACAAATTATTGTACGTCCTCGGAAGATAAATGTATTATTTTAGTTCTATCCCAGGATTGGTCTTCAGTCAAAAAACGTTCCTGCAAGTGATTACCACATGATGCTTCTGCCCAACTAAATAATTTTTGCAAGAGACCGCGTGCAAGAAGACCACGTAGCCAAGGGGTGATGGATGATCTGCAGAAATCGGAGTCTGAAGTTTTTGATGTGCTTATATGATCTCTCGGGGAACATTTCATATAGTTGAAATCACTAAAAGCCATCCAACGAGCGTCACTGACTTCATCAGGATTTAGTTTCATTAAGTCTGTATCTGCAAGATTTCGAGCTAGGCAAAATAATAAACGAAAGACATATTTGCGTATAAATGGAAAGGTTGTGTGACATATATGAAAGTACATTTTACAAAACCGGTTATATGTATCTCAGGAAGCCAACTTACACAGTTGAATGAAATGTTTTCTACTTTTTAGAAAGTCACATTATTTTAAAGACGTTTTTTTCCCATCAGTGTTGGAAAACACAGTAGACAATGTGATTATGTAACCTGTTGCATATAACTGAGTAATAAACTGTTTTATCCGGTAGCAAAAAACTGAGAAATGAGGGTACTAATTTTCTTTTCCTAGTTGAGAGAAAGGTGAAATAAGGTAGGACGACTCAAATATGCCCTGTGATAAACAGAGAAATCAATTCGAATAATATAATGTCTAAAATACTAGCCTTCATAATCATTTGATGCTTAATCTGGGCTCGTGTAGAGCAAACTCACGGAAACCAAGCTGGTTAAAGATGTGGGCATGTATTGACCAAGTATTGAAAATTTGTCAGGATCCAAATCAAAGGGATATTTACTGACGCCCAACTATAGTTGTTTTTCGACCTTAAGGCAGTGCTCGACTCCGTTGAGCGACAGGTTTTGTGACGATATTTATCAGTAAAAGGTGTACCGAGAAAGTAAATCAGCCTTGAGAAGACCCATCACCCAAACACTATTGATCAGAGCTTATGATAAACTGTCATTGGAATTATAAACCTTAAGTGGTGCGCGTTAAGGTTGCTCACTAAACTATTTATTTAGTTTCGTCATGTCTATATATAAAACGAATTCTTCATTAAACTTTTCAGGGGCTGATCATCCTAGAAATTCATTAAACGACATTGAGTAAGATGACAACCCTATTTGGTGAAGACACAAACACAGTTTGCTTCATATTACTCTATGGGCGTGAAATATAGGCTATAAAAGTAGAGGACATGCGTAGGCTGAATGTTTTTGAAAATAGGTTTCTTCGAAGCATTGCTTGCCTACCGTGGAACGATCGGGTGACCAATGCTCGGGTTAGGTATAGGGCACTAGACAAAAATGACAAATCGGTTGGTGAGGCTGTTAGCCTTCGTCGACTGAGGTGTTTAGGACATGTGTTACGTATGATTACCTCGACGTAATGTTGGTTGGAGTAGTAGACTTAAAGGAAGCTAGAGGTGGCTAAATAAAAATGTGACATCATTTCGTGAAGTCAATGACTGTTGGTTTGAACCATATTGGTAGGTGCAGACTAGTTGATTGAAAATCACACAATAATTATGATCAGTGGTTATAAGCATTGGGCGATATGGCTCAGTATTGGTCACATTAGAGTAGACCAATTCACTCAATGCTTTCGCTAAGTCTTGAGCCTCAATACAACTTCGTACTTTATATTTATCTAGTGTATCTTTTCTCTTTGAACTGTATCATCTGATGCTTAGTTTCACTACCACTGATATTTCACTGAATTAAAAGAGCGATACAGAGTCAATGTGAGGTTGCCGAATAATGTGATGATTTACCTGCAATAAGTGGCAAAATGCCTGTTGTATGAGGGCTTATGATATAATTTGACTGTAAAGAGAGTTCAGGACATGATTTATTGGCTGAAACTCAAATTCCGAGTTTAAAGTCATCGCTCAACAGGCTTGAGTACCGTCTCGTATACACCTAAGGAAATGAACTATGCCATCAGTAGTTTCCGGCAGTCATTTTTAAGAATGGTCACCATGTTATTTTTCTAGTATGTGACTTATTAACAAAATTTAGAATCGTGAAACCGGTTTTAACCTTTACTTTATGGTAAGTAGTGACACTGCCCGGCTGTTCAGACAAGAGTAGAGTCTGAATCAGTAACTGGTCGGAAGTGGTGTTATACCCAGCCCGCCAACTTTTAATAAGATTCGATAGTTGTGTTATGTCAACACAACTTAGATGTAAATCTTAGCTCGACGTCTGATTTTGAAGTGATGGATTTTAAATGAGTGTGTCGGAATCAAAAAACCTTAGCAAATTAATACCAGTCAATAGAAACACAAACTACAAGTATAAGGAAATTTATAATCTGTCTTTATAAGCTCCTAAAAAACAAGTTGTTTGCAGTTGGCGCGCTATTTAAAAAGGACAATGGTATGGTTTCTCGTTGAGTTAATTAACTGTTTTGATCGTAAATTACGCATCAAAACTACTGTTTACACTTTAATTGTATCTACTCCAGTTAAAGTGATATTGTATTGAGTGTTTAGATTTTGCTTTTGCGTATTTGTTGCATCGAAGCATACTTGGTCGACTTTTACTTGATTCATTTAGTTAAGGTTTGAGAATTCTTTTACATATCCTAATTGTCACCATTGTAGTTGATTTTCAAGATGGCCAGCTCTGCTCATAAATGTGGACAACCATATTGCTTATTCCCCGTGGAGGAAGGGATGCAATGTGATGATTGTAATAAGTGGTTCCATAATATGTGCACTCGATTAAGCCCCACTGCATATAAAAGGTGCTCAAAGCCCAACTCTCATTGGCTTTATAGTTTTTGTTGCTCGAGCAAAAAATTACTCATCCAGGAAGCAATTAGCCTCCTGATGTTGGCTAATAAGAAGGTTGATGAGGGCTGTACTGGTAATATTGGTACTGATGGCGAAGATTGCATTAGTATCGTAAGTGCTGTCACAGCGCAAGCCAGACATCTAACTGTGAGGCCCGCAATTAAACCGTCTACCCCAAAACAATCAGTGAGTGACACCTCATTAGATATCGGTGGCCATGTTGCTACAGCAGCGACTTGCGACCCAGATAAAACAATTACTGTCCCTAGTGGTTCTAATGTGGATGCTACGACTGATGGAATAAGGATTACGCGGAAACGCAGAAGAGAAAAGACAACTAAAACTAATGACTGTTTACTTGATAAGTCCTTGGTGGACTCTCAGACCACTCCGCCAAAGTCCCAACGTACAGCCTCGTCAAACATTGTTGTGAGTCACTCGCTTGACTCCCATGACTCTGCTACAATAAAAACTAATCGTAAGATACCAGTAGTTAGTACACAGGATCTAACGTCACGATCGAAAGCTGTGAACACGGTTTCAAAAGAAGCTAAACCCCTCCATAGTTTAATTATTTGGAATCTAGAGGAGTCGAAAGACAACGACCCTGCTAAGAGACATGCACATGATCTGCAGTTGGTAGAATCTGTGGTAAGAAACGTACTACCTGAAGAGGTTCCAGGGGTACATATCACGAAGGTAATACGACTTGGTAAATGGGTTGGAGGCGAAACCCAACCAAGAATCTTGAAGCTGGTTCTCGAAAATTTTGAAGAAAAATAAAGTACTGAAAAACGCACAAAAAAACCGTGATTCAAATATTTGTATACGACCTGATTGGCCGTTTGAGGATCGAACCAAGTGGAAGAATGCTCTTACGGAGTTGAGAACTCGCAAGTTAAATGGCGAAACTAACTTTACCATTAAGGGTTTTCGGGTAGTCAGGTCTTGGGAGCCAATGCTTCCGAGGCCTGTATGAGTAGAACGAATGATTGCCAAAACACCTTAAGTGTTCTACACGAACGCTCGTAGTCTTAGAAATAAAACGTCCGAGCTAAGTCTGATGGTGGACGAATTAAGTCCCGATATAATTGTTATTACAGAAACTTGGTTCACAGTAGATATAGAATGTTCTCCCATCATCGCAGGCTATATCTGTATTAGAAGTGGTAGAGTTTTAAGTCGCAAAGGGGGAGGCATGTTATACGGTAGGGACAACTTTCACTCGCTCAACTCCCTACAGATTGGAAAGACGCTATAGTCAGTCTTATATTTAAGGATGGTCAGAGACAGATAGTATCTAACTACCGGCCTGTCAGTCTAACTAGCATTGTCGTTAAGTTACTTGAAAAGTTAATTCGGGTTAGGTTGCTAAGCCACATAGATTCACACAATCTGTTAGCTCCTGAACAACATGGATTTCGTAACAAGCGTTCATGCCTGACTAACTTACTTATTGCGAGAGGATTGGACAGCAGCCTTAGATAAAGACCTGTCTGTCGATGTGATATTCATAGATTTTAGCAAAGCATATGACAAGGTTTCACACTTAGGTCTTATGCAGAAGCTCACGAGCTTCGGAATAATAGGTACTGTACATGAGTGGATAGGTAACTTCTTATGTGACCGCAGACAGAGAGTGAGGGTCAATGGGACGCTATCCGATTGGAAGCCGATCAAAATTGGTGTACCCCAAGACATCATTTTAGGCCCTCTGCTATTCCTTCCCTACGTTAATGAGTTACTGCTGTTGCTTAGGTCGTCAACAGTATTGTTTGCGGATGACGTAAAAATCTGGAGAACAATAAAAAGTGCGGCTGATCATCTGGATCTTCAAGCTGACTTAGACGATTTAGTTAGATGGGCTCGAGGTTGGGGCTTAGAAATCAGTGCTAAGAAGAGTGTGCTAATGCACATCGGTCATAGCAAGAAGGTTCATAAACCGCGATCTAATAAACTTAAAGTGGGGTTTCGTTTTTCCCATCAAGTAGTCAATGATTGGAACGCCTTACTCGAATAAGTGGTATCAGCCCATCAGTGAATATTTTCAAGGAGAAACTGAACCTTCACTGGAAGGCAATCTGTCAGGATTAACACAGGTTCACCAACCTACTATCCCTATTATAGAAGACTGAAGTTCTTGTACGCTTAATATGGTTTTCACCGGGAACGAGATCCTGTTGCACAGCAGACAATATTCACATCATCCAAAAAAGGCAAAGTACGGTGACAAGAACTTTTTCCACATGTAACAACTTTGTACACGTCATAGCATCAAAATAATACAAATGGAAAACATGAGCAAGAAAATAACTTACTGGCAACTGGATCTAGCACGCTGACAAGAATGTAGTCCACCTCATGTTCTGCGAATGCAGTTTGCGTACATGGTTCATTTGGAGCTGTATATAGCACTCGACCTAAGAAGTGTATCCGATTTAATGGAACAAAAGTATTGTTGATGCCGAGTTCATGGAACAGCTATTCATTCAAAAAATCAAGCCAACCTCCCTACCTTTCTTTGTGCAGCTTTCTTCACCCCTATCGCATCCGATTCGATAAGTTCATCAGGAAAATTCATGATAGGATGACTGCAACAAGTATTTGACCACAGAGATGGGAACGTAAGTTTATTAGCTGAACGTTTTTGGACTAGTAGCTTAAGGTTTCTGTGATTTGTTTCACTATTAATATCTTCCTGAAAAAGGAATAGGCTGAAGGCCCGATGTAGTAACGATTTTCCGAACAGTACTTCATGACATGTCTAGACACTATAGTGCCTTATGAAGTGTGTATTGCTTACCTTCTTGTTAGCAAACCCAAGAACATGATCAAATTTATCAACGACTATGCACAATTCGTTTAACATATAGTTCGATTGTGTGCTACAATACTTCCTGGCTCCTGAAAACAACGAAACGTAACGCCACATCGTAGAATACCCATTCGACACGCAGACATTTGAAATACCGCTCACACTCACGCCTCAACATCAGCCATTAGCGAGGAAGGTAACATGTTGTCGACCTGTACAAAGGCCAACAAGTTTCCTCAGAAGCGTTCACATATGAATCTTGCACTACTTATTTGCATAGGGTCTTCTGGTAGTTGACCACGAGTTGGTAAAAGCGGAACTCCAACATAAGTTCATTCGATCGGAGTTTTGGACCCTTATTGACAGGAGATTGATTCTGTGAGAAGCAGAAAGACGCTGTGTGTCAACATTTTACTTGTTACCCAAGGTACCTAAAGCTAAGGTGAAGTCACCTTTCATAGGTAGGTAAATTTATGAAGTGGGTCTGTTTAAAAAGCTCTTATCAAATCTTTCCCAAAAGACTCAGACAGTCCTTGTCTCATTCCGAAATAACGCCGTAGATAAACTGACTGCATCTGTTGACCAGATTCTAAAGACCACAAGAACCCCCAACACAGGTTAATTCTGTCGAGAAAAGACCTCAAACAACACAAAATAACGTCACACGTTATCTTAATATTCATCATGACCGTATTAGCTCTCAAACTCGTCAAAGAATCCCATCACGATGTACTTCTGTCTTTAGACCACGAAATACAGATGATTCTGATTGGTAATGGAACTACAATAAATATGGTAAGTCTTCTAGAAATTGTATGAAAACCCGTGGTTTCATAATTTCCAAATCGCCTGGCATGAAAAACCCTTCCAAAAACTCCTCGTTGGTACGTGTTAACGACAACTGCAATCAACGGACATAGCTAGCTAATATGATGACAAAAGTTTGCTATCTCACCGGCACCGCTACTGCGCTCGTTTCAAAAAGGGCAGTGATTTTTGTACTTGTTGTTATTATCCTTGCTTTGTGTACTTGTTGCACCCAAAAGCATTCTTGGTCTACTTTAACTAAAAGTACTTTGGTTAAGGTTTTAAACTTTTGCTAAACTTTGTCCTTTGGTACTTTTTTACTCGTTGACTGACAATCGTCTTCACATTGTGTTTTAAACCTTTTTAATCAAATTACAATGGTTCGTAAGACTCATAAATGTGGACAACCAAACTGCTTGTTCCCCGCTGAGGAAGAAATGCGGTGCGACGAGTGCAAAAAGTGGTACCATAAGATATGCACACGTCTAAGTCCTACGGCATACAAAAGATGCTCAAAGCCTAACTTGTATTGGCTTTGTATGTTTTGCTGCACAAATAAAAAGTTACTAATTCAGGAGGCTATGAGCCTATTGGCTTTGGCCTCTTAGAAAAACGATGGCGGTTGCGCTGATAACACGAGCACTGACGGTGAAGAATGTGTCAGTGTAGTACATGCTGCTACCGGACCCGCTAAACACCCGACTGTGATTGACTGGAAAGTGAAATCTCCGCTAACATTAACGAGGAGTGAAGTGCCGATTGATATTGACATCGGTATTCATACACCTCTAGTGGAAATTGAAGACCCGGATAAAACTGTCACCGTTCCAAATAGTCCCGTGGTGGCTGTCCTGAGCGGTGATAAATGGACTTCAGCACAGAGAAAAGGAAAGAAAAAAACTGTGGGCAAAACGCAGCTGGTTAGGAAGTCATCGGAAGAGACGGTGTCAGAAACAAAAACTCCATTGCGTGTCAAGACAGGTCTCTCTGAGAGGTCAGTCATTTTTCATAAGTTAAGAGGATCTTCCGGTAAGGAACTAAAGGCCAGATTCGAACACGATCTCAGTCATATTAAGTCCCTAATAAGTAAACTACTCCCAGATACAGTTTCAGGAGTTAGTATTTGTAAGCGTTATAGAATAGGACAAAACGTGGATTCTGAAAGTCCCCAGAAAAGCCGCCTCTTGAAGGTTACATTTGCCACGGTTGAAGGAAGGAACCTGATTCTAGGTAACTCACGTAAACTGACTGGATCTGGAATATACGTCCGTGAGGATCTCAGCCTAGTTGATCGGATTAAGAGATGAGCTGCAGAAGTGGAAATAAATGAGCGCAACCGAAACGGTGAAAGAAACCTCGTTCTTAAGGGTTTTTAAATTGTAGAAGTTCTGAGCAAAACGATCCCTAAACCACACTGGGTGGTAAGGGAAAGTTCTCCACAGACTTCAAGGTATGCCACACAAATGCTCACAGCCTACTAAGTAAAATGGCGGAGCTCAAGTCAGTGGTGGATAAAGAAAAACGGACGTTATTGCTGTTTCGGAAACTTGGTTAACGTCAGAAATATTAGATAGTGAAATGCAGTTGACTGGTTTTTTAACCACTTGGGCTGATAGGTTAAACTGTAGGGGAGGCGGGGTTATCCTGTACACGAAAATTACCCTAACCATAAAAGTAGCTGAGACAGTGGCATATGTTTCAGGGACATGTGAACTGGTGAGATGTGAGCTGAAATGTAGACGGCAAGATATTGAATTAGTTGCAGTATATCGCAGTCCAGAATGTGTGGCAGACGATTTTCTCCTAAGTAAACCTAAGTCCTGGAGTAACAAGGGTAAAAGCCTTGTAGTAGGCGACTTTAATGCACCGTATATAAACCGGGTTAACTTAGAAGTAGGGTCATCGATATCGTCGTTCGAATGCAAACTGTTGGAAACATCGATTGGATTAGCTTTATTCCAACATAATAAACATGTTAGAACCCCCACAAGATATGGCTTGAGAAACTCTTCTTCTCTATTAGATTTAATTTTCACACACGGAGATGACGTTGGACAAGTGACTTTCCTACCACCACTAGGAAGAAATGACCATGCAGTCATCTTATTTAAATTCATGGCTGAGATTGCCTGTCAAACAGTTGCCCCGGCCCGTCCTAATATATGGAAGGCAGATATGGAAGCAATCAACTCCACAGCATCGGCTGAAAACTGGTAAATTGACTCAACGGCATCAGTGCAAGAGGCATGGACTCATTTCAGGCAGTTGTACAATCGGGTAATTCAACCACATATACCCTGAACAGTTCCAAAGAAGAAGAAGCACGGACATCCCTGGACAGGCCGGGATATTCTACGTTTACTAAGACAAAAGAAGAAATGTTGGACTGTACGATGGAACGCTACAGATCGTTAAGAAACAAGTGTATAACTAAAATTCGGGAAGCTCAAAGAAAATATGAAATGCACTAGGCACAATCTACACTCAAGCAGCCTACGAGAATATTCTCGTACATAAACTACAGAACAAGGATGCATCATTGGATTCCCAACCTAATTAAAGAAGGGAGTGAATCTGAAATGATAGAGGAAGATCAGGAAAAAGCAGAGGTTATGGCTGACTATTTTGGGGTAGTTTTTACTCAGGAACCTCCGCTAGACAAAGAACCAAACCAAGATAAACAGTCAACAAACCACCTGCTCACCGTGGACTTCGATCAAGATGATGTGCTTAAGGCGCCTAGCACCTTAAACATGGAAACGTCAACAGGACCAGATGAACTACACCCCAAAATCTTGAGAAATATTGCTCAATATATCGCAGCCCCATTGACTGTGTGTTCAATATGTCACCTTACCAAGGTGTGTTACTTGTGGACTGGACACAATCGTCACTCCCATAAATAAAACAGGACCAAGACACCTTCCGTCGAACTACAGACCTGTAAGCCTCACCAGTGTTGTAGTTAAAATATTGGAAAGAATAGTTAAAAAGATCATAATGACATCTGTGCATACCAACAACTTGTTAAACAGTGAACAAAATGGTTCCAGAAAGAGTCTTTCTTGCGCAACAAACCTCCTTATAGCAGGGGAGCATTGGATAAAAGGGCTAGGCAGCGGAAACTTAGTATATGTTGTCAACATAGACTTCAGTAAGGCATTTGATTAGATGCCAACAAATAGACTACTATTGAGGTTGGAAAATCTAGGTATTGCCGGACTCCTCTTAAAATGGTTTACTGATTTCTTAGTACGTCGTAGACAGAAAGTAAGAATAAATTCTAAGTGCTCCATCTGGAGACCAGTACTTAGTGGAGTCTCTCAAGGTTCCGTCCCGAGTCCTTAACATTTTATACTGTATGCAAATGATCTCCCAAATATAGTACAGTCCCCAATGTTATTATACGCTGACGACGTAAAAATTTGGCGAGTAACAACTGGAGACGCAGATGTATGCGCACTTCAGACAGACTAAGATATTGTGATTGACTGTACTAAGGAGTAGCTAATGATTATCAACGCGGAAAACTGTGTCTATATGCACTTTGTGAATACAAAGATAAGTAGGTACAGCATAGGAGAAGTGCCTGTACCCGTGGTTCGGTCTCACAAGGATCTTGATGTGACAGTGAGCTGTGATCTTAAGGCAACGGCCTAATGCTGGGAGGTTGCAGCTGAGGGGCTTAAGACCCTACTAGCTTTACGATGGGCATTCAACAAGTTAGATAATATCATGCTCACTACAATATACAAAACCTTAGTGAGAACTAAGCTTGAGAACTGCGTTCAGGCTTTAGGGTTTACCATGCAAAGTTTGAGAAGCTAGATCTCTTTACTATGTTCTACCGCTGATTGAAAGGTGATCTGATTTTGGTGTACGGGATCCTAAGAAATGATTTCGGGCCCAATATGTTCTCGTTTTCCATTCCCACTAGATATTGACATTTCAGAAGGCATAGTAGGTGAGTATAAAAAACCTAGAACGAACAAAATACCGCTGACATACAGGTTTTCACACCGAGTCATCAATGCTTGGGACCTGTTACCCGAAGCAGTGGTGTCGCACCTTCGGTCGACCCATTCAAGAGAAGACTAAACACTTACGGAAGAATACTAGAAAAGTAATAACATAGACCGTAGGTCTTCGGTTCTTACTACACAAACCTGAATCTGAAAGTTACCTGGTTCGCTGGGATCATAAACAAATGCCAGACAACTCCAAACAGCTGGTTAATGCTAATACATACAAAGATGTCAATTATTTTTCAAAACACTCAGTTAGATCATCTATCGCGCTTTATTAAGATCACTTGGTTCACTAACTTGCTTTAAATGATGCGCTAGATCAACGAGCGCGGCCTTCAAGTTATGGGTGATCGGCCTGCAGGTTGGGCTTACGAGACAGTGTTATGGTGTTTAATCTATGCATTTTAATATGTAGTTGCTCATTGTTTTCCAAGGTTTCTGTTTTATTGTTAAGTTATGTAACTTCAACTTGCACAAGACAAATCTTTTGCTGTGATCTTCTATCTATGTAGGTCAACAGTTGCCAGTGCCCGTCCGGATACCTCTGTCCAGTATTCGTGCACAGACAAGGCCTCTCGGAAATATTGTCCCTGCCAACGTAAGTGATATATTTTAAGGAAATGAGGTTCCGTCAACCTTTGTTTTTGTACCGTCTGTAAGGAGCCAGCATTCTCAGTAGGTAGTTTTTCCGACGTCCCTTAGCTCTCACTTCACAATCCTTTTATAGACAAACACTGGGATTGTTTTGAAGACATAAGGGGGATCCTGACTACTAATTTATATGCAGATCAGTGTCGTCTTTACATTTGATGGTCACATTAAGTGGTACCTATTATGTGTTGTCCCATCTAGCACTAACTATTCTGTAAGTTCAGATTTGATACGATCAAGTAATCGAAAACTTGTAGATTCATAGATTTTTATACATACGGAACCGTGTTGCTGACCGTTGGCACTTCCTGGAAATGGTCCCGGAAATTCTGTCTCGCGACCACACATTACCAAATTTCTTAGTCGATAACCTAAAGTAACGTTTTATTTTCTCAGCAAAGTAGGAACATGAATGCTTTACCACGCTGCATATTTGGCTTGTATGAAAGCGAAACTAGAACAACCTTGTAAATAGAAACAATGCCATACGCAATTTATGAGCCTAGTGTGTCTTTGTTTTGACTCGTTGCTAAAACGTACAGTGGTAATTAAACGTGTCAATCTTGACTTAAGATGTGTTGGAGTGACCTCGATACTTGTGGATGATATTAAACATGAAAGATTATGTGTGTTTCATTTACGCAATGTATTTACTAATTTGAAATCTAATATAAACTTCAGACAAATGCGTCGTAGTTATCGTTTTTATTTTTTTAACCGATATCTGGGATGAGGGTACAGTTGTCTGTTACGAAGCTCTAGGGAGTGAGCTATTAGAAAGGGATAGTGGTAACATAGTCTTCTGATAGGTATCAACATCAGTACCACAACTGTCTCATTTCTGAGTTCAAAGCTAGTGGTCCAATGATTTGATAGTTATGGTAAATTCTATGGAGATAAAAATCCAGAGTGTATTTGACTTGATATCCCACAAAGGTCTTTCTCGCATCGTATTTTAGGAGTAATGAATCTTAAGATGCTCGAACACTTTGAAATTCCCGAAATCTCCCAAAATAATGTCTTTAGTACAAAAGGAGAACTAGCTGGCCCCGATACCTAATTTCAAGGCTTCCCAGGTTTAGATTATGTAGACTTGCGAAATTGCAGATCATTACTTGAACGTTCACTAAGTACTTCTGCGAAGGAGCTACTATCACTATCGTGTTCTGTTCATTTAGAAGAAAACTAGTACGAATCCGAAAGGACGCTTGCAGTATGCTTTCATTTGCATCCTGATTACACGACAACCTTAACTTGAACGATATTAGGTGACAGTTCCTCGTGGCATTCTGATGATTATATATATAGCTGGGCAGATTGCTGATTTTTCTTGCTACAACAGCTTGATTAAGCAGGATGTTATTTTATAAACCCCCATAAAATGATATTGGGTTATTAATCATCAGTAAATTTTAACCACAAGGATTCGTAGACTGATATCCTATCCCTTAAAAACTGGTGGTCTTGTTTGGAGATGATTTAGGACTATTTCTCTACGTAACACAAGCTTTTTAATTGTTTAGTTAGGATGCTGGTCAACTAAACATTTTATGGAAAGCAAACAACTACAAACCTCCGGTGTTAGTTCGAAGGGTTCCTCAGTTTCGGGACCCTTCATTTAATCTGCGGTTTCCTAGTACTTATAATTGTAAGGCATCTGATGTAAAAGTTGTAATAGCTCAACGGTTATCGAAAAAATATTTCTGTGCCTCAATAAGAAAAGTGCTTTGATTCTTAGATTTCAGGGTTCGGACTCATCACATCCTGTTCTAGATATTTTAGCAGTATTTAGTTCGTAGCATGATTCTTCCTACTGCTTTGATCGGTAAAACTATAATTTATGGACGACATTTGAGCAACACTAAAATGACTTTGGAATGTTCGCCTACTTACCAGGGTTAAATGAAAGTTATATATTAGTGTGAGGAATTAGCATTGTGATTTAGTTGAATGTTAAGGTTGGGAATTAGATTTAGTGTTCTCATGATGTAATGACATTAGCCATAATGTCAAAATGGTATTTAACCAAATGAGTAAATGAATTTCTCGCCAAATCCAAGACCTGCTATCTTAAATGTGATTGATTCGTCCATAACTTAAAGTCTACTTCTTTGATCAAATTAAACTAAGGATAAGCAAAATTGTAGATAAAATATATTCTTTGATTCCTCTGGGTTAGGAGGTGGCAAACATATCCGGTTGTAGGTAGTTGGTATGTTTTGCGACTGGGTTTTCGATAAGTTTTCAGCAGTCTGTCGTCATCATGATTGATGGTACACCAGTAACACTTAATCTATGTTTTGAGTTGAAGCAATAAGGATTGAATAAAATTTTATTGCTTATGTGTACTTGATATTGCTAGGTAATGCAAAGTATATTCAGATCTTCTTGGTGCCGATCAATAAAGTGCTGAGCATCCGTATATTATCACTAAACCATCAGTGCTAATGGGATACTACAGGAGTTTGTAATTCATTGTGTCGTATGATTGTAATCTCATTACATTCTCAACCTTGTTTCGCTTATTATTTTCGAGGCCAATCCGTTATTGTGCGCTTAGAGGAATCCTTACCACAGTTGCAATGTTAAAGACAATAAAAGCATAAAATCGAATTTCCCTGAGTAAAAATCATATGCTTTTTCATAATTATCTGTGGACTATGTGGTACATAACGATGTCCTTTGATTGCGTTAAATTAGTGCGAGACTCAACGTAGTAAGTTATCGGTTACAATCACTGAAGATCACGAAGGAAATTCACAAATATTTGTATATATGATCAAATAAAAAGAAACAATTCAACCCAACCAGTCTTCCTTGTAACTGATGAATTAATTATTACCTATCCCATTACAACTGATTTTTCCTAATTCATCGACGCAACTGCTAGCCTACTTCCCTATAATCCAGCTTCTATGTAGTCGTCGGTTAGATACTTGATGAATTTGGGGTTCGCTTCTCCCCTTAATCATAATCATTATACCTTAGTACGCGGAACAAGATAACATAAGAAGTTCGAAAGACTCAGGTGATCCGATGTGTTAAAACTCAGCCAACCTGATCTTAATATCGCTTACTTAGATGTTAGTACTTAAGAATAAACAAATTTACTCACTTTTCTGAATTGAAATATAGTGCAGTAGCTGAATAAAGACTCATAATTAAGATAGCTATGAATATTTTATTGTTCCTCAGAACACATGAGACAAAACGTCTTGGAGATTTTTAAATTCATGCATCGACCCGAGTTGCTATACTTTATTCACAGGACAAGTAATTCAATAAAAGCATTAAGATCAATGGACGACGTATTTTTTTTACTGAATTGTAGCATATTTTAATTAGGTTTACCAACTTTCGATATTTGGACACTACGACTTAGTAACCAAGCCCATATCTGTGTAATTGACTTCGACCCACTTTTTGTATCATGGCTAGCGATGTCACTTCATTGCTCAAAGTTGATGGAGTCTGGAAAATGAGACTGATTAGTAGCTGTTTCATTCGACAACTAAGTCCCTTTGAGTATTACAGGTACAAATTGAGTTAATCAACTGAAGTATGTTAACAGCTTGGTAACTCGCTAGTAGGAAATAAGATTAGTGTCAGTGGCAGTTGTTGCTTTTCATGTACCAGCGTATTTCTATTTGTTGACCTTCATCTTCCCACAGGCCAGATGACTTTGAACAAGTTAACAAATGCTGTTCTTCCGTAACAACTCATGAGATTACTTTTTTGATATTGTTGTCCACACATTGTGAGACCTTCCATATCAATATGTAGAAAGGATAGTTATATCCCACTATTTTCTCTAAAAGTTCCATTTAAATTTGAAAAATAACTTTTCATACATAGTTTAATCCCGGTGGTACATTTCTATAAGACTTCCTTGCATAATTTTATCTTAAAAAGGTCCCTCGACCACCCATGGTTAACCAGGTGTACTTGCTTCCTAAATCTGGGATAACTAATAATGTCCTTCCAAGTGCTCCGAGTGTGATGCAAGTTAGGAGTTTGGCGGTTGGACAAACTGTACTCCAACCAAACGGTGTACTTGCTACCACTCCTGTTATGCCAAGTAAGTTCCATTTTAATTATGTATATGGGTCAGCTTTACATATGACTATCGAAGCACTTGAAATATTCATTTCATCTAGTTAAAATTCGAAACCTTTGTTGTCATTTTTGGAAATTTACTAGCAGCTCAGAGTTTTTTTAATAACTTGAGTTCTCACTTCCATGTAGGATATAAAGGAAATCTAAACCAGAAACTAATGTCTTCTCTTCTGAACCACATTTGATAACTTATTAATCCACTAAGTTACACCACTCATAGGACCCTAACTGACGATTCATAATGAATCGACAGATAGCATTTCTAGCCACGCTTTACAACAATAACGTAATTACAAACAAACCATTATGCAGTAAACTTTCCTTGCACCTAGTAGAGAGACGAACACTCCACATGAGATAAAAATGAAGTCGATGAAACCCAAACAAACTTGTCAGGAAGTTGGCCCAATCAAGACATCGGTTCATGAAACTATTTACCTCTGACGAGTCATTCCATAGACTTATTACTTGGAGCCCTCACAAAATAATCATATCCCCGTTGTTAAAGACCTTAGAGAACTTGATGCTAAACCTCAGGCAGTGACCCAGATGTATTCTAACGATTCAGTTGGCCTTGGAGTTTAAACCCAAACCTCAAGAGATGACATTTTTGAGCTTTCATTTTCAAATTTAGATTGTCAGTTATTCGTTTTTTAAATGTACCCTGGTGACCATAATTATATAAGGCATTAGTGATGTGGAATTTTCAGGACGAAGTAATCCCATATTTGGTAAATACCTTCCTCATGCAGTAAAGTTGGTGGTATGTGACAATGGGGTCAGTCAGTCAGTAGGACATACATGCATCGGCCCAAGTTGCCACACCTCATTAGCACAACAAGATGAACACCAAATTCATAGAAGTAGTTGCATCAGTGGTAGTAATATACAAAAGAAGGATTTCGTACAACGATATAATACAGGAAGAAAGAATTAGAAAGAAAGGTATAAAGTAATTTGAATCTCACGGTTTAAGAGCAGACAAAGAGTGTATACACCACACCCACGCCATTGTGATCGACTCTCAGCCATGTCACACAGAATCTCAAACCATTGTTTACGATAGTCACGCGGACCCCAACCAAGTAGTCTGCATCTACCAACATGGCTCGGACCACAAGTCAGTGACCTCAAGCACTGATGCCACGTTTTGGTTTGGCCGCCTCTAACTTTCTTCCAACCATCCCCAACACTAGTCAGCATTGCACGTCGTGGTAACCAGTGTTCAGGCATACGTAACACGTGGCCCAACCATCTCATTTGATGAACATTCACAACCCCATCATCTGATTTACCATCATTCCCTAATATCCTGTGTCTAACCTCACTATTACCTACCCGGTGATCCCAACAGATGAGAGCAGTATTTCTAAGACATCTGTGATCAAATATTTGTAGTTTACGAGTATTTTCTACTCTTAATGGTGACGTTTTGCAAACGTCAAGTAAAACAGAATGAACTGCTTTACACTATACTCGTCCTTTAATTGATAGACGGATATCTTGCTTTCGTCATAGGTGACGTAAGTTGTCAAAAGCCAAACGAGCCTTTTGAATCCATGCAAAGATTTCACCAGACACCAACCTATTAGGGCTGATCAGACTTCCAAGATAAGTGAAGTTTCAACAGCTGAGATCATGAGTCAAAGCATCTCACTGCTTCACTCCCTATTCTTAGTTCGGGTATTGACGCAGGCCAACGGAATGAGGATGTAAAACTCACCCCTTTTAGTCATAACACCTAGCTGACTAGCGTGGAACATTGGGACCCCTAGGGACAAGTTATTATGAAGTTGGAAGCTCCAAATAAGTGGCCAAATCCTTTATTCCAATGTTTTCAGTTTGTTTGACCGCTTAAAAACTTTTTCAAGAGGTATTTTCTGATATTTATTTTTATGATCAGGAGTTGTCACATCTCAGTCGGGTTCCTCAACTAAATTGGTGGGATTTTTTAACCAATTGTTAGAACTATCAAAGAATGTCTCAGCTAGCACTCATAGCTCAGTAGCAACGCTAATTCAAGCATTAGTGGTAAGTTTTTAACTAAATAAATTCTAAAGTCACTTTACCTTAACATCATATTTTGTGTATTTTACAATTCAGTGATCGTGAACAGGTTTCGTTTCTAAACTGTGTAGCATGTAAATTGTATGAGGGTTAACAATGTTCTCCGAATCCCTAAACTACGGTAGCTGGAGTAAGATTTAAACCTGTAATCTGCATATCTGTCGTTGCATTACGTTCCGAGGTTCTACATACTTCAGCGAGAGATTTTTTGTCTTAGAATCACACGTACTCATTAGCTATGCTAGACATATTCAAATTGAAATAGCTTTTATAACCCCAAATATTTATGATGTCCTTTCTTTAGATATTAACATAGTGATCTATTATTTAACGTTCAAATATCCCTTACATTACACTGTTTTGACAAGCGAAATGTAACTCATCGACTTCAGATACTCCATTTTGAACTACATTGGATAGTAGGGCTATTTCAACTATCCGGTTACCTTAATCAAAATAGGTAAACCTACAATTTAGTAACCGGAAGTTAGATTTTTTTAAACAGTAGATCACTACTACCTTCAATCATTTAAGCAGTGATATTGTATTTTGATAAATATTCATTTATGATTCCGTATTCAGTTCCGTGGACGGACATCTCCGCTGTTTTATCAATCGATCTTTTCATTATTACTTTTGACTTCATGTGTCACAAGTTTTTACCATTCACTTTGTTTATATAGAATGGAGAACTTGATGCCAGTTCGTTCAGTGCACAACTACGTAGCAATCTTAAAAGTGCCAATCCTGGTATGGACCTCGCCCCATTCATAAAGGACAACATAGATTTACTTAGGAGAGATCTAGCTAATGGTGTCTGTCGTCTCCCAAACATACAACCTCCCCCAAAAGATATCTTCACAGGTGTACCCACTGCAGTCCCTGTTTCGATCGTAACAACATTACCTACCGTAGGTCTTCAGCCCCGTCCTAATGCTGGGGTATCTACAACACTAGTTTCTTCAACAGTGCCCGTTGGCCCTCGCATTACTCTACCGACGAATACAACTCCTCGCATAGTAGGCACACTCATGTCATCAGTTTCGTCACCAGTTATTCCAACTAGTCCTGTTACTGTTCCAACACTCCGAACACAACCCCCACTATTGGCTCCTGCTCCTCCCCGGACATGTATTACGTCTGTCGTAAACTTTGATGCAGCTTCAGGTTCTAACACCGGTACGAAATATCGTTTGGCTCAATCTTTTAGTGGTGTTTCATCTTCAACGTCTGTCGTATCTAATGCAACCGCCGCAACAGTGGTTTCGACACGTTTCACATCGACTATTAACGGTACGCGTCCGAACTACCAAAATTTGCGACCAATTATTGCTTCGTCCACTTCCACAGCATTGGGTATCAACTTAGCGTCGATAAAATCAGTTGCTGGTGTTTCTGCATCCGTACCCCCTGTAATTCGTGCTAAATCTGGATATGCTAACACTTATTCTCCTGGAATTCTACCCGCTGTTCACAACAAAATAGGCTCCAATGTCCTATCCTTGAATGGATCTACGGTATTAATAGAAGGTGTGGACCGAAAACAGAATGACCTCTCGTTTTTGAGCGACGATATTCGTCACCCCGCTATGTCACCTACACGTGACAACCCATTTTTCCCATCAGAAAAAGTTAAGGAAATATTAGAAACTCATGGCATAAAAACACTAACAGAAGAATCTATCGCGTGTCTCGCACACGGTTTGCAAATATTCATCAAAAATATTTTATCAAAGTTGAGGATTGTAGTATCACATCGACTCGATCGTTTAGGAGAGGATTCTCGTTTGGTTCAAACAGATCACACGCGTGAACAGTTGAGGTTTCTTCAGAAGTTGGATGAGCATGACCGAATGAGGCAATCGGAGTTAGAAAAGGATCTAATTTTGAAGGCTGCAAAAGTAAGTTTCGAAGTACATATCTTGTAAGGTAATCTTATTTAACTTCATTTACTTGCCGAATACTGACTTGTTTTTGCAAATTATAGGTGTCTTGTAGACAAGCCCCTTGTAGCGTAACGTCAGCTAATACTGGTAAAATGAATTGTGCGGGAGTCTCTATTTTACGCTTTTCGTCCTCATTGGTTAATTTAATGTTCTCACCTTTCAAAACATAAAATAAATCACTATTTTTTTGAACTTTCCTATTTTTAGTCGCGTTCTCGAAATGAAGATCCTCATCAAATGCAGATGAGGGAAATGGCTCGACGGATAGCGTCTGAAGATTATGAACGTGAAAAGCAACATCAAGCCAATCTTACAGCTCTTCACGCTATCGGCCCACAACGCAAGCGTCGTCTAGATACTTTAGATGAAATGGGCAACTCCATTTCAACAGATATTTTGGGAGCCTCTCTTCCAACAAGAGATGGTGTGACAAATTTGGTGAGTGCCCTACCTGCTGCTACTGCTAATCGCCTTTCTATTGTCAGTGCCAGTCGACTAGGTTTGGTAACATCAGGACCAAATCTAACGCAACTCAATTTAGAAGCTTTGCCGGCAAATTCAAACTCATTGGTCTCCGGTGTCGGTGGGACTGGTGATAACATGCCAAATACATCTGGATTTTCATTAGCACTCAGTCTCAGGGCACATCGAGCAACTCTCAGAGATATGCAGGTCATACTTTCTCGTACACCGAGGCTTCGTCGTACACGTACTTACTATAGGACGTATTGGCGCTCTCAGCCTTAAGAGTCTTTTCTTTGTTTCTTATTTTTATTTTTGCATAGACTTGATTTCTGATTGTAATATGATTTAATTATTAGTTGGCTAATTTTCCTAAAACGTTCCCAACCTAACTTGTATCATAAAATCTTTGTACATTATGACTTTTCGCAGTAGCCTACTTCGCTAGGCATCTGGGGTTCTATGTATATATATTTACACACACACCGTAATATTGTATGAAATGTGATGTTAGTTCCAGATTCTTTTTCTCTACTAAATGTGAGATTTCTTGTATTTTTTCATAACGCATGTATATTTACCAATTCCACGTATACTTCGTTCGCTGTACATAATTTTCGACTATCCTATTCAGAAAATAATAAACCTGTTATTTCTTTAGTACTTCACAAACTTCATTCCGTTTTTAAAATTTATCATCATAAAAAAGTAGAAACACAACTGACAAACAACCAGCTTCACAACCTACACATAATCTGAGTATATCCAGTTTATTACTAAGCAATATGTGGGAATAAAAGCAACTTATAAATCATAAATTATTTTACTGAAAAACGCAATATGTGGTCGGAGATTGAGTAAAATTATAAATAAGCAGAAGAAATTCTGCAAAGATTATTTAGTCTGTCATATAATATGCACTTGCGTAAAAGAATTACACTCAATAATAGAGAAAAGAAAGAAATGGTATCAGTTATAATAACACTCCACATATCTTCAACATGAAGCTCTGGGTCCGGAAGTGCCTGATTATATATATAGCCAAACAGGGACAAGAACCCTGATAAAAAGTTCCTATTGTGAAATATATATCGGTCCGGAAATATTGGACTAGCATTTGGAAAGCGCTCAGGTTCATTTATATCGAAAGCATAGTTCGGAGCTCAAGACCGGTATGTCCTGAAAATCTAAAAAGAAATATCGAAAAATCATAAAATGAATGGTGCCAAAGTCCTGAATATAGCTGACCGTTAAAACGTCATACAAAATAATTTTCAATTAGAGGTAGTAGTCAGTATGTGGGGTTTCCGTTCGTCTGCAAACCCGTCTCATAGTGAACATGGTATTCAGAGAATTAATGTGCGTTCCTCTTTTCTTATTTTTAATGACGATCGTCGGTACGTCTTAACCCACTTCACCTTAGTTTTCTTCTATACTATATTGACTTCGGTTGTCAGTAAGTTATAAAACGATGTCAAGTTTGCGATAAGTTATTTCAGCTGTACACTGGTCTAGTGAATAGGCGTGTGTCTTTAAGCTGACGCATAGTCTTTAATCCAATCAAGTTACAACTATTCATGCTGAGAATATCGGTGTTGCACAAAGTGAAATTTAGGAGCATCTCATCCACTTCCAGGCCTATAGGAAAAAATATCAATGAGCACTAAGTAGTGGTAAGCTTTTCCTAAATGACTAAATATAGCTTCGTTATTACGCAATAAACCTTCAGCTAGACCTGAGAATCAGCTTTCAGTGCGACGAAAACATCGGCATCTGAGGATGCACTCAACATTCATATCAGCCAAAGTTGACGATCCTACCACTAACTTACTCCACAATTTCTTACAAAAATATGAGAACAGTTGATGTGATACTAAATAATGGTCCGAACTGCCTACCAAAAAACTTGAACACTGTTAAACCAGACTAGCGGAATTTACCATGTTCTCTAGTTTTCGATTTTCTCTGAAAATACGAAATCAATACTAATGGATCTGCAGTGACGTTTTGTTACAAACTCACTTCACTCTGATCTAAACCCGTATACCTTGAAAGGTAGCTTATAATCAAAGCCATTCATTGCAATTCAAGGTACCAGGTTTTAAAACAAATGGAACATTAGATCAATTTGCGGACAAATATAGTTACTGGTGACCTCTTCTTGATTCATATGACCCATACCTATTTTATGATTAGATGATTACAAGCTAAATTTTATGATAATTCGAATGCGTATTGATATGCTATCCTCAAACACAATGTATACTTACCTTTAATCTTAAATGAGTCAAACCAAAACTCTATCACTCCCACCTGCGTCACTGCCCATAATAATTGTTTTCTCACTTACATGCTTCTGAATATTCAAGTTGGTGGGTGTTTGGTTAAATACAGGTTTTAAGTTGGATGTTCCTGGTTCCCCAACAATTCGAAACACATATACGCCTTCACTATCTGGACTTACTGTAGATCGTCTCCTAGATACTGACTTAGGATTGCTTCTGATTGCTCCCTTCAGAGAAGTCTTCAAGATAACGGGACTTTCAGACATAACAGGAATGACATGAGGATATATTGTATTGTCAATTTGCTTCGTTTGATATACTATCTTTAAAGGGTTTGAATTCATTCTATCTAAAGATCTGGATTCTCCGTTTGGATGAGATCGGGTGAAATTGATCGTTTTACGAGATTTAATCAAATCTCGATTTAAACGATTGTCTCGAGTATTTGTTATTTTAACGTCGTAAAGTTTTCCATGAAATTGTTGAATACTGTCAGGTTTCGGTAGAATTATGGGTTGTGAAGTAAGGTCTGCACTACTTGTACTAGATGTATCTTGATTATCATTTTCGAAAAGGCCCCACTTACTGAGACTTTTAACAAGTATCTTTGGATCAATGAAATATTCCCGTTCATATCTATCATCTAATTCGCTGCATACATGTTTTTGTTTTTCATACAACTTAGCTAGATTGGATGACTTCGAGATTTGTGTAGTTTCGAATTCTTCTTTAACGGTAATCTGTTTAATTTTAGCCCAGCTAAGATGTTCAGTAGATCGAATTAAAGGTGAACTCATTGATGTTTGAATAATTGATGGAGGATTAGAAATTGATGCATCGGAATTCCAACTATTTATTCGGACACTAGACTTTTTCTTCCTAGTTATAGCCACAAATTGATAATCACTTGGAAGACGGCAATGTAACGATGAGGAGCGATTGAGGTGCCTTGATGTAATTGTTTCATAAAAACGCGGTTCATTAAGGATACTTGAAGATTCTGCATCTTTAACATCCTCAGGAGTAGCTAATGGTACTCCTTCAATTTTGGTGTATTTGCACGCGTCACTGTCAAGCCAATCTCCTGAGTCAGTTTCATAAGTACTATTTTCATAATCTGTTGTGACTCTACTGCATTCATATGGAGATTGAGTTAGTGGTTCTTCATATAAAACTTTGGATGGTAAGTCTACTGATTTGAGTTCTGCTGTGTTACATATCGGCCATACGTTTGCTGTAGAAATGATTGGGCTTTTAATAGGTTCTACAGCTTCAGAACAATCATCCAATGCACATATGAGCGTTCGTTCTTGGTTCCTTGAACCAATGAATCGTAAAGGATCAATTGTTAAAGGTTTAGGAGGTTCTAGACAGAAACGTTGTTTCGCAGCTAGCCGTGACTGATGAGATGGAGATGAAAATGGTGGAGGTATTTTAGACTGAATATTATTTAAATTGTCAGTACATAAAGAAGGATCACTTATACTCGCTTCCATTGGTTTTTGTGAATCAGAATGCACATTGGATTTGAGATTTTGAGGATCTGTCGGAGAAAGAGCAGCTGAAGATGCAGATGATCCAGTTGATTTTAAAATCCATAAATCTGTATTTTCCTGATTCATTCTTTTGGTAGAATCACGTGCATCTATTTCAGGTGAATAAATCTTGTGGTCATATGAAAATGAGCATTGAGATTCTGACTCACTTGATCTATATGACAAAAATATATAAAAAGTGAGTTCAATTTAACTGTATATGCTTTAAAACGATTGCAAATATATCATGTTTTGTATTTGAAATTCTTGTATGCATTGCATTAGAGGAGTTTTTATATCAGTATCATATCGAGTACAATCTACTAAGGCATTATTTATCTCATAGTAATAAAATCAGGAAAAAGCCATTGACCATTAGAGTGCCCATGTGAATAGATTTGATACTTCATGTGAGTTTACACTTCTTATACTATAGGCCAGAAATATTATAGAACCTAGGAAAGTGATAAGAATTCTCTACAAATATGTCTAGAAATATCCTGACGATAAGATACCTTCAATTTCATTAAGTAACGGTTGTACAAGAAGCTTTTATACTTTTAATCTCTTGCTTTTGAGGAGATACTGGACTGTATGAATCGAAGGGTCCGGTATCAATCAGTCCTATTGCCTTATTAAAGGTCTTCAGAAAGTTGTCACTTAAAATGATAATGAAGTCGATCATTCTTTGTAAACTTAGATATCTTCTTTAATCGGTATAGAGTGTTCAACAGACCTGGTTCTGTCAAAGGAAAACTCAGATGGAAATTTGTGAATGTATGATTATGTATTTTACAGTTGTGACAGTTATGTATCAGGATTTTTCTGTTATATCTATTTCGGGAATGTGGAAAAATAACTAGTGGATCCACTTAATACTCTAGGTATTCTCGAAGTTGCTTCAGCCTTTATAACTAACGTAGTTTACGTAGATAGAAATTTTGATCAGTGCTGCTACGGGGTAGAAATAACCATATTAGATAATTTATTCTCTCGCTTGTTTAATTAGTGCAAATTCTTCAATCACTTGTTTTTTGTTTCCTTAAAATTGTATATAAAAAGTGATATATTTACTAAATAGTACATCTTCACATAGTGTTATCTGATACCCTACGGATCAGTGAGTTATGAGGTACCTAGGGAAAGGGAGTGGTTTTGTTTGTCTTGAATCGTGTTATCAGTGCAAATCCGTTCCCATTGTAGTGTCCGTTACTACGCTAAGCCCACATAACTTATTCTAGCTTCTGGACAGGCCAATTTATCCATTTTTCTTGAGTCACGTTTTGATCTTGTCAATTATTCACTTATCAATTTGACTGCTTTTATGTAAGCCTATGTATGTGCATATCTTATCCTACTCGCCACATGTCTGTAGCTTATTTCTGTGTGACTATAAATATTGATTAACGTTTGATCAAATGGAGTTGGCTCACACGCCTCCTCCATTGCACGCCATTTCACCTTGCTCTCTTCTCTTCACTTGGTCCCTCTGACTGTCTATCCAGATCAATGAGTGTACAAAATATATGTATTCAAACATCCATTTTCGTATTTGACTTATTTAATTCCGTTATTCACTAACGCGGATTAAGTTGATAATTATATACGGGGATTGTTATGAACATTTCGACAGCAATCATCCATACGATAATAATGGAGTCAGACCTTGGGCCACTAAACTATTATTATATTAATCGACCTCGTCATATCATGGTTTAAATACACCACTATTGAGATCGATATCACTTAAGAACTCCAATTAATACTATATATTATATTTCTGATCCCAGTGAAAAAGTTATTCACACAACTCACATCAATCAATATTTATATTGAGACAGAT